CAGTGCTGCTGCCAAGCCAGTTTCCCTCCATTCTGTATTTGTGCCTTTGGTTTTTCTTCCCTAAGTGTAGCACCTTACATTTGTCTTTGCTGAATGTCATTGTGTTCTCTAGAGCACAGTTCTCCAATTTATCCAGATCCCTTTGAATTTTAGATCTATTCTCTAAAGTACTAGCAACCTCCCCCCACCCCTGCCAGCTTTGTGTCATCTGCAAACCTGATCAGTCTGCTCTCTGTATCTACATCCAGGTCATTAATAAGGATGTTAAACACCACCGGACTCAGAACAGATCCCTGTGGAACCCCACTTGAGACCTCCCTCCTACCCAACATCATTCCATTAATAGTTACTCTTTGTTTGCAGTCATTTAACTAATTATGTATCCATTTAACAGTAGTTCTGTCAAGCCTGCTTTTCTCCAGCTTACTTATCAGAATGTCCTGTGGGACTGTGTCAAAAGCCTTGCTGAAGGCCAGGTATATTATATCCACCGCATTCCCAAACCAGTTACCCTGTCAAAGAAGGAAATCAAGCTGGTTTGGCAGGGTTTGTTCTTGGTAAATCCATGGTGGCTGCTAGTGATCATCCCTCTGTCCTCCCGGTATTCGCACATGGAATGTTTGATACGTGGCTCTCGTCGCTGCCCGGGTATCGAGGTCAGGCTGCCTGGTCTATAGTTCCCCGGCTCCTCCTTTCCCCCCCTTTTAAAAAGATGGGCACAATGTTAGCCCTTCTCCAGTCTTCTGGGACCTCAGTCAGGGTCTTGGCAACTTCACACTCTTAGCCACAGTATCAGTTCAATTTGTAGCGTAATCAGAGCTTCAGTTCTGGAAAAACTCCTCATTTCCTTCTGCAGATATTTCAGTCCTGGTTCTGGCAAGTTTTGGGCCTGATTTCTAACACCTTTAGGACATAGAGAATGACAGATGCCCAGCACAGACATGGTAAAACCTCTAGCTACCAAGCACCTCAAAGCAAGTGTGAGAAAAATTTCCCAGTGCTGGCTGAACAGAACACATTATGGTTACCAACTACAGCATCCACAGATCCCACTGCGTAGCCACACCCGGGGGTGCTGCTCTGTGCAGTCAGCGCACATTACTGAACTGGCTGCAGCAGCATTTAGAGCTAGCGTTTCCTGTGATTCACACAGCTGCCAGAACCCCGGATTCCTTGCCTCACGACCGAACACAGCACACCAGGGCTGGTTAACAGACACAATACAAACACAGGCAAAGTTTACCCAGTTTGCTAACCCAGCGTCATGATGTGTGTGCTTGCGAGTCAATGGCCCAACGCAGACACACTGCGTTTCTCTGCAGCTACTCCTCCCAGAAGTAGTGTGAAACACAAGCTCAAGCGCACTGTATTTACAGCTCAATCCACATGGGCACAAGGAGTTAGAGGCAACTTGTGTTGCTTTCTAGACACAAAGCATTCAGCTGGAGAGACCATCGTGTCCTGCTCTGCAAATAAATCCAAGGCATCTCCACAGACATGTCTAGCACGTTTGGGAAGCACACCCTATGCAGAGATGTGGTGGGAAGTGGTTTTCTGCCAGCCAGAGACCTGACATCTGACTTTGCCTTTAAACTGGGTCATGGGCCACTAATCACATTATTAGTATGACAGAAGCTCCAGGGCAAATCTCTTGTGATCCAGCCCCTGGAGGAGCCCACACACTGGCCAAGTGTAACATATGCAACATTTCCCTCTAGGATGCCCCAGTGGAAACACCTAAAGGGTCATCCTGGCGTTCAATCTTTAGGTGTTCTGCTCAGGTGCCCTTCCCCTGCCTCCATGACAAGTCAGCATTACTCTGCTCTCCATTCTGGCTGCACCTGGAACAACGGGGATTAGCGGCTTGAAGTGCTGTTGGCCCACTAGGAACAGTCCATTTCTCCCCTGCTGCTGCTGCCGGGATAAGTGTTTTGTTGCCATGACCACATGGCCAGAGGATTAGATAGTCAAGTGCAATTGTTTCCTCAGCTTAGACCTTCCCCAGGAACCAGCCTCCCGCTGTAGAGACAAGAGCATTTCTGGCAGCATGGTCAGCCAGTGGACTCCAGCTGCTCCCATGAGGATACTCCAGCCAAGTATCTGGCTGCTTAACTCTGTTCATAAGGGGCCAAGGGAAAGGGCTTCCTCCTTGCTCTCCTCTCACATATGCTCCTCTCGCTCCAGCACAGTGATGCTGGATGGACAGGTCAGTGGATAGGATGTTGGCCTGGGCCCCAGGAGCCCTGGGTTCAATTTCCCGCTCTGCCAGGGACTTCCCTGTGACCTGGGGCAAGTCACTTAGCTTCTCTGTGCCTCAGGGATAAGTACATTGATGAGTGGGAAACACTTTGACATCTACTGGTGAAACACACTATATAGGAAATAATATTGCCTATTTTGCATTCAAATGTACGTTCCCCCCAGTCTCCAGGTACAACTTCAGCTGGAGATTGCGACAGACCCTCTGTGACTGGATGTGACCCGGATTCACATAGCCAGAGGAAGAACTAGCCGTGCTGAGTGCTGCAATGCAATCCCTTCCCTTCCCCAGCCACAGGACACGCAGACACCATTCATGGAATTCCGGGCAAGGGGAAGGCCCCAGCCATGTCAGTCTCTAATTAGGTGGGTGTCTTTGGACCATGCTCCCAGCTAGTCCAGTAGTGATCAGCTCAATCCCTGGAGAAGGCAGGCAGGCTGTGTATGAACCAACGGGTGGCTGGATTCAGCAGGGAAGTGGGAGCTGGAGCAGTGTAACTGGAGCCAGAGGACTAGACCAACTGCTGCCCTGCAAACTGCACCCCTTTCCCTAGGGCCACCCAGCCATGAGCTTACAGCTGGCTTTCAAGGGCATTGGGGGGGGGAGGGGGAAGAGGAAATCCAAGCTGCTTCTGCATCAAGGTAAGGAGCCAAGTCAAGGGAAGCACATCTCTTCAGCACATTGCTGGAGCTGCTGGCCGAGCGCAGAGATTCCAGCTGCCTGCACACAGCTGTCTTGATCCCCTCAGCCTTATTACTGATGCCCTCCCCTGTGCTCCTGGCTCCAGTATTTACCACTGCAGAGTCCAGCCCCGGTTCACCCCACCCCATGCTCTTGTGCAGGAGCCTGTATATTCCAATTGTCCAAGGGAACGAGAGTCCAACTCAGCCCATTACACACAACTGTCTCCACGAGGCAGCAGGCTGGAGCCAGTATGAACAGGACGTGTCCCGTTAGAAGAGCTGTGCTCTGAGTTCTCCTGGGGAAGTCACGGATCAGCATGACGACGAGCTGGAAGACTCTAGAAAGGGGAGGAATGTTCCTAGTGGAAATTTCAGTGTGCTTCTGCTTGGTCCCAGTTAACGGCATGAGACGGCCACCCCTTCTTGGGCATTGTTTATCAGGGCAGAGAAAGAGCTACCAGCAGGGCTGATGGATGGACAGAACAAACTTTACCCTACTGGTTGCTACTGCCTCTGCCTGGCCATCTCTTGGGACTGCAGAATCCAGCATGACTCTCTTGGGTGTTCATCCTGAGTGGGAAAGGCATCCTTACCAGACAGACCCAGGGAGGGACATCAGCTGCACTGGCTTTTGCTAAATCCTGAACACTGGGGTCCTGCTGTCATCCCTCCCGGGGGTCACTTTTCCTTCTCCTACCTTGTTTCTCTTCCTTCCCCTCTTATAAGACAGAGGCAAAAGTCTGGCTGAGCTGCCAAGACAGTGCCTCCTTTTACAACAGACTGGGAGCCTGTGACCAGAGAGGCAGCTTAGCCAGCGTCAGTGAGGGGCTACGCTGGGCCTCTGTTACTCCAGCAGGGAGGTTGCAAACAAAAGCAGCCATCAAGATACAGAAGCTGTATTTGTCTTTGCTATTTCCCCCTCCCCTTGGGCCATTATCTTCCCGTCGTCTGATCCTATTCATTTCAAGACAAAACGACAGCAGCAGCTTGAGACCATCAAAATGACCGCCTGCGGCACAGAGAGGACCCTTCAGACTAGCTACGGAGACGGTCAGTGGTTTCTCTCTGTAACACGGACTCCACACACACACACCAAGTGCAATTAAAGGCTCTACCTGTTTTTCTTCTGTTTCACTAGATTGAGGAGAGGTCAATACAATTTAAATGGCGGCTGTTGTGATGGGAGTCACCAGCGACAACTCAGCAGGAAACCCCACATAATAGTGAACAAGGGCTTAACAACATCTTATCCCTCACAGGCCCTCAACACTCAGAGTCCCTCAATGTGCAGGCTCCTCCTCTCCATCCCTTGCTCCCCAGACTCCCCTCCCAAGTACCCCAGCTCGCTGGTGCTGCAGAAAGGCAGTGATCAGACTCGAGGCTGCTGGAATTCCCTTCATTATGGAAAGCAACTCATTTGATTTTAGCCTGTGTCCTGGCAAACCCCCGGCTTCCCACCATGCCCCCCTGCACTGTGGGAAAGCACAGCCACCACACAGCCCGAGGTGTAGGCCGAGCCCCTGTGCTGTGCAAGCCTCACTGCCTGCTCTTAGCAATTACATCTTCCTCTGCCATGGGCACCCCGGGGTTCAGGGGAACAGACTCAGATGTCAATGGGTGCAGTTCAGTTCGAGCAGGTCCCCGTCCCCCCCGCCACATGACACTTCACTTCAAGTCTCCTGTGCACATACTGAACACTCACTGCCAAGCACAGAGCGCACCTCCAGCATCGGGAGAGCTGAGCATGCAGGCGGGAGAGACCAGAGACCCTGTACTGACGGAATCAGCGGGGCTGAGACTGGCATGCAGTTCAGGTCAGGTGGGACCGCCACCACCAGCTCTGCCTCCGCACACTTATGTTATTCATGCATATGGACTGAGGCAAAAATCACTGGGAGCAATTCTCTGGCCTGTATTATACAGATAATGGCCCCCTTCTGAGCTTCAGTCTCTGAACCCACTGCACTCCAGGTCTTCAGAGCAGCATGAATACAGTTCTCCTTCCCTAAACCTGACCTTCATTTTGCTAAGAAATGGTCTGCTCTGGTGCACCTCACCTGGGTTTCGGGACCTCCAGTGGGCTGCTTCCGACCCTCAGGAAGGTGTCCGAATGGTTTGAGGAGGAGGAGCTAGAGGACTTTGCTTCCTGGTAAGGCAGTCTGTCTTCAGACTGTGGGGTCCGGCTCCAGAGCACTGTTTGGGGAGAGGACGTGCGGCTCTTCCTCCTGCAGGACAACAGGAGCCCTGGGTGAGAAGTCAGCTTCCCCATGCAAGAAGCCATTCCACCTCAGGGCAGAGATTCCCCCCCTCCCCCGCCCCCAACTACAGAGATTCAGCTCCCTCCAAGCCCAGGAGAACAAATTAGTCAGGTGTAACTGCACCAGCAGAGTCTGCCAGACAGATGTGCCCTGCCCCCAGCATCTTCTGAGCTCTTGCCCTCCCCCCTCCCCCCCGAGCCAGCTCACACTTCTGGAGTGTGGCACGTCAGAGAAGAGAGGGAGCAAGAGGCCACCTCGGCCCATCACCTAGGGGCCAGGCCAGGATTGGCCCATCCGGACCATCCTAATGTCCTGCCCCATCTCATTTTAACATGCCCTAAGCGCCAGGCCTCCCAGCACGTCTCTGGGGAAAGACGACTCCAGTCGAATGGCAATTCTCCAGTGAACGCCCATAGCTGCGTGCAGTGCTGTCATGAAGGGTTCGCCTGCACTGCAATGAAACACTTGCAGCTGGATCGTGTCAGCTGACTCAGCTTGCGGGGCTGTAAAATTGAGGTGTAGACATTTGGGCACAGGGACCCCTCCCTCCTCATGGGGACCCAGAGCTTGGACTGCAGCCTGAGCCCAAACGTCTACACTGCAATTTTACTTCCCCAAGAGCTGGAGTCAGCCAACGCAGGCCAGTGGTGGGGGTTTCACAGCAGCGTAGACATATCCAGGGGAATAAACCTGTGTAAGCAGCTCAGAGGTGAGGGATCCGAGAGGACAGAACAAGTCAGCCAGCCGTGCCAGGCCTCTGATCACTGTCACTCCTCTCTGACATTCCTCCATTTGGGCCCCCTGCTGACAGGGGGCAGCCGCATCACAGCTCGAGACAGTGCTGCTCTCCCTACGTGGGTGGCATGTCTCTGCATTGCCCTTCTTCTAGTCAGACCACATGCCAAACTCCTGTCCAGTTTGCTGCCCACCACCGCCTCCCGGCTGACAGCCATTACTGCTTCCCTTACATGCCTGCCCACGAAGGGAGAGTTCTGAACTGATCCCCCAGCCTTGCAAGTCAATCAGGGTTCCCCTCAGACACCAAGGATTTTCTGGCAGGAGCGTCAGCTCCATTCTCCCAAACGACAAGCAGTTGGCCAAAGCCCTCTCTAGCCCTTACTCTCTTGCTGGTACTGTAGTGTTGTCCTCAGTGCAAACCAGCAGAGCTAATGAAATGCCCCATATGGTGACAAGAACTGGGGCAGGCAGAGCCCTGAAGGAAGGTTTTAAATCCAAGGACCCCTACAAGCTAGTGTGGCCATCCTGGCTTCCAAAGAGACCACAAGCACAGACAGCAGAGAATCCACAGCTAAACCCATCTCTTTGTGCAGAGGAGGAGAACCCTGTGTCCTCCCTTCACCCCCCAAGGGCTTGTCTGCACCATGGGGGCTCCCGTGCCATAGCTGGGGTGCCCCAGCAATGCTGCTGTCACAGCCACGGAGGGTTTCCGCTGCTGGAGGAACTTCACCTCCCCGAGAGGCAGTAGCTAGGCTGAGAAGCATTCTTCTGTCGACCAAGCTGTGTCTGGGGGTGAGGCAGGCACAGCGAAGGTGTTCAGTTTTTTCACACCTCTGAGCAAGTACTTATGTTGATCTAAACATTTAGTGTAGACCAAGTCTCAGATGTCCCACACCTCAGCCGCTAACGGCGTGCTATGGACCTCACATCAACGCTCTGCCAACATTCCTCCCTGCATAACCTGCAAGGATCTCCGTGTATAGCTAAGCAAGGAGTGCCTGGCATTTGGCAGAACGCATGTACGCCGAATCGTTTGGCACCCACAGCAACGCCCCAGCCCCCCGGCACCCACAGTACGTGAGCGAAGCAAAAAACACACAAGTGTGAGTCAACCCCACAAGAACAGCAGCTGTTTCCTCCTCTAGTTTTCCCAGTGCACCCTGGCTAGTCCATGTTTTGCTTCAGCAGGAAGCGCCTGGGGGACGAACAATGCTATTCAGGTTTTGAGTCTGTGGCCTACCGTTGTGGGTCCTATGAAGTACTGGCCATTACCCAGAGCCCTGGGGTGGGGGAGCTGCTTTGTACTTGTCGCGGTCGAGTTGCAGTGGACAGCCAGTCGCTTGTGTTAGAGGTGACCCTGCACTAGGTCAGGTATACAAGTGCGCTGTTTCAGGCTTCTCATCCCTGCTCTCATGGTCCCCAGGTTCGTTAAACATCTCACTGCACCAGGCGTGAGGAAGCCTGGGCTGCCAGAAGCGTGCCGCAGGTTACTCTCCCCCAGAGCGTCTCCAGACGCCCCAAGCACAGCCCAAATTTAATTTAAAATAATTGCAGCACAAAATAGCACTGCTGCTCGCGTTTCGGGAGAGGAGAGAAAAAAATTAAACTCAGAGGGGCAATCCCAGAGAAAGGCTCTGAAATCCCCAATCCCAGCTGCCCCTACAACAATGAGCCTGCCGGATACCCCCCCTTTCCTGACCCCAATTTCACCATTGTGGCTTCATACCAGCCACAGGGTAACCAGACCTAGGAGAGACTCTCTCCCGTCACTTTTCAGGAGAAGTGGTCAGTGTTTTGCAATCTTTTCGGAGCCATCTTCAAGAGCTGTAAGTAACAGTCTAGCCAGCTTCCGCCCGCAGGCCAGCCACTTGGCTTTACAGAGGCTGCTCTTAGCTTGGGCGGCCCACTGTACAGGGTTAACCCCGGCTCCAGCTGGCATCACCACTCTGCGCAAGTGGGAGGAGATGCCAGCTGGGTGCACGGGGAGGGAGGACTGCTCCAAGAAGTCCTGCTTTTGGAGGGATCATTCTTCACCCAAGTCCCCTGTGAGATGCAGAGTCACTAATGGGAAGTGAGAAAGCCACTCCAGGTATGGAACCACTGGGGCAAACGGACCCGCAGCTCCGCAGTGGGCAAGACTGCCCGAAACAACTGGCTTTGATGTGATTTCAGTGCATTTCAGAAACAAACAGAGCAGCTGCTCTGTCCTCAGATCATTGGCCAGGCTGTAGGCGAAGGCCTCCTGCAGAAGCACAAGGCAGCCCCTCATGGCAGGAGCATTCTCAGGACCTGCTGTAACAGAAGGCCCTGGAGCTCTGTAGCACGGGTCTGGGTTAGTACTACTCACAGCTGAATTCCTTCCTTCTTTCTCTCCGCAGTGTCTTGCTGGTCCCTGTGCCACATGGAGTGGGCGCTCAGCAAGGGGATGGCAACTCCCTGCTCAATACGCCACCTTCTGAGCACTGCATAAGGCAACACCTTGAACCTGCCCCTGCCTGCTATGCCCTGGCCAGGTGCTTGGGTGGCTTCTTACCAAGCGGCCTGGGTCTGCGCGCCAGCTGGCATCAGCTCCACCACCTCAGAGGTGAAGCTCCCAGATGCTCCTGGTGAACTCTCCAGCACTAGGGAGAAGTCACTGCTCAGGCTTGTGGTGCTGCCCCGATCCCTCTGCTCTGCAAGAAGGAAGACAGAAGAAGACTGAAGCCAAGCCTGGAAGCCTTTGATTAGCCATGTCCCCATCCTACTTCCCATCCCAATCCCTTGCTGGTGCCCAAGGGCTTCATGCGAACACCTCGTGGCACTTCCCCCACAAACCCACTCAGCCCTGAGCTCCTTATGCACACCCAGGGGAGTGGCCAGCGCTCCGGGATAGCACTCACTGAGCATGCAGATCTCTTCCACAGTGAAGCCAGGCAGCAGGCTCTTCCTCCTGGGGGGAAAAGGAAACAGTTACATAGGATCAGAGCCATGGGGATGTCCGCTGCCATCCTGCCAGGCCAGGCCAGGAGAGCGAAGAGGGGATCCCAGAGCACTAACTGACCCTCGACCTGTCCCTAGCCCTCACGCCCTCTGCCTTCCGTCACGGCAGCAAAGGTTGCAAACAGAATGGGGCTTGTCCCTCTGCTCGCCTGGCACATGACAGAACTGGTGTTTGGAGTGCTGTGGGTCCCAGTGTTCCCCTTACAGGGACGGGGGCAGTGAATGAGGAGCCGACCCGGAGCAGTCCCTGGCTGGGGTGATGGTAACGGACATGCTTCTACCCCCACTCCCAGCTGGGGTGGGAAGGGAGGAGAGCGCTCAGCTCCTGCAGCCTGGAGGGACCCGGCAAAACCCTATGCAGAGAGGCTTAGTTAAAGTCGTGAGAAGCCTCCCCCAGGAGGGGCTGGATTCCTGCCATCTCTACACACCGAGGGGCTATTGTTCAGCCATCTCTCCTCCCCCAAGGCCCTTGACTTACAGCAGCACAGACAGGACTTGCTGTGGGCCAGAAGGCGAGTCAGAGCCCTCTCGGCCATCGGCTCAGCCGGGCTAATGGACCCCCCAGACACTTCATTCAGTGGAGAGCACATTTCAGCCTGGGCAGCTTTTCCGAGTGTGACGTGCGCACCTCACAAGCCTTGGCCCCATTCTTCAGCCTTCTGAGTGCAGAATAAATTAAGGGAAAGTGGGCCAGGACACGAGGGCTTCCATCTCCCCATGGTAACAGCACTAACGAGTCGCTTGGCTCTAGTCCAGGCAGCAGCTGGCGCAAGCTCCTTACCTCTGCAGCGTCACAGCAGAGAACTCCTCAGAGGTGATGTGCTTCAGAAAATTGAAGCAGAAAAAGAAAATCTGAGCAAAGGAAGAGAGAAGAGAAGCTTGAGAAAAATCCACAGGGGCTGCAGCCTCTTACTTTAATGGGGGGAGGATGCTGAGGGGAGGGGGCAGCAGTGCATCTACATCTACCACCAATGTCCACCATTAGCCACAGTCACATTTTGGGCCTTCTGTCTCAGAACCCGCTGCTGGCTTGCCCTGGATCGGAGTGTGGAAGTCCCCCGTGTGGCACCACCCCCCTTCCCTGACCAAGGGGAGGTTCCTTTGCCCTCTGAATGGGCCAGCTGGGAGAGTGCATGTCAGAAGGCTCCTAACCCAGGCACGCACCAGTCGAGAAGGCCAGGACAGCTTCTCTATCCTTGCCAATGCAGCACCAGTGGGCGAGGGTCACTCAGCAGCAGCTTGCCAAGAATAGGGACGCTCAGGAGAGCGGTGACCTCCCCAACACCAAATATCACGGCACAGCCTGCTCTCTGATCTGGCTGTGCCCCACATGGCTCCCGCCACCCGGCACAAATGTCTCTTGCCAGAATGACAGCAACAGGACAGCTTATCGGCAAGGATCACAAGTCAGGACTGTGGTGCATCAGCCGACAGCTAAATAGCAGCTATGAACCCCCCCCTCCCGCGGTGCCAGAGCACCCGGAAGAGAGGCACGTGGTTTAGCCACCCAGTTTGTGAACAACTTCTCAACTAACTATTTTTCAGCACTCCGAATTCAGAAGCCTGAAACGTCCCTTCTCAGAGCTGAACCAAACCGTTATGTCTCCAGGCACTTTTGTCCGAGATGAGGTAAGGAAGGCCCTTACTAACAGGACATGTCGGGATTACAAGATCTAACCCACCCACATATAGTCCTTGGGCCCTGGGACAGCGTTCTTTCATGGAAGTAAGGAGCAGACAGTGCTAATACCGCCAAGGTCAATGAGATACCCAGCCAGGTCAATAAGATGTTGAGCTGCAAAGACTGCTGCTACCTTGAGCCTGCTGCCTAGTGGGTAGAGTACTGCGTTCAGACCCTGCTCACCTACTGCCTCCTGCAGGGCCACTCACCTCTTCTCCTTTACTGAGCCGATCAACCAACATGTGCCTGGAAAGAGAGCAAGGGAAAGGAGATCACAAAGTAGGAACGAGAACGAGCAGTGATGGACCAGGCCATGAGCGGTCAGGGACAGCCAGCGGCCTTAAGCGTCAGGCAGAACCTGCACGAGCCCCTCCCACCAAGCAAGGCGGCAAGCAGCTCAAAGCAGATGTGCCAAGTCCCCTAAGGAAAACCATCCCCTCAACCCAAGCAGGTCACCCACTAACCAGACCACGAGAGGGCCCCTCTGAGAGCCTGCCCACCCCTGGGCAGTGTCTGCACCCCTCAGTGAACCTACCCAAAAAGGAACCAGTCATAGGCCACTGTCAGGTAAAGAATCTCCGCAGGCTCCAGTGAGGCATGGATAAGCCCATCCTGGAAAGGAAAGAGGAGGGAAGCCTCAGGGATGCAGCAGCCACTAGAGCTGGGACTGAGGGTGCAAGCCCCACTGGGAATCGCCAAGGAGAGTGTCTCCCAGCTGGATGTCCCCCGTGTGGTGCTGGCTCTGCCCCACTCCACGTGCGGACCAGCCCCATCTCCATTACATGGCATCTCATGTCCAAAGCAATGTCTCGTCAGGCTGCAAGTGCAGATGCAGCCCTAATGCAGAGCTGTAGGTGCCTTACCTTGCCCCCTGGGAATACTGGGCCTCAGTACACGCCAGCACGCCAGGCCGTGCCTCCAGAGCCCATTCCTACACCCCTCTCCAGACACTGCCTTGGTAGCTAGGAACAGTGACTGCTCTTCACCCTCTTTGGGTCACACGGCTGCTCCACCACCCCAAGCGGTCACTCCCCGAGGCACAACAAGTCCGTTCCGTACTCACAGCCCACAAGGAGAGGCGCAGGAGGGCGACGAAGAGAGGGGTTCGGTCCCAGCCGGATATACAGTGTACCAGGAGCCCGCTGTCATCTGCTCCAGGGGCGGGAAGGAGAGGGAGAGAGAGAGCTTTGTAAGGAGAATGGAGCATTACTTGTACCGTATCTGTGATTCACTGCACACCACCCCCATGCAGCACCGAGGGCTGTTTGCAGGGGAGGGAAGCAGGAGCACAGCTGGTCTTACTACCTAGAACATCGTCTTGGGAGAGGGCTGTCTCCAGAATGAAGAACTTGGAAGGTCCCTGATTCAGCATGCCATGCCAAGCTGTTGAGATCCTAGTCTCCCCAACTGCTAGGAGTAAGGAACCCCATGACAGGGGACCAACAGCCTGCCCACAGCCTCGAGTTGCCCAGTTACACCGCCTCTAGCCCCTCACCAGTCAAAGCACCAAGTCTGCTTGAGGAGAACATTTCCATCATTTCCCCAGTCTGAATGAGCTAGACCTCAGCTCCAGGAGCAGCAGGTCCCCTTTCACCCCCGAGATGTGATGACATCTCCACAGAGCAGAGCGGCCAAGAACAGACCACCACCACCTCCATTGTACAGACCGTTCACAGGCATGTGGCAGGAGCACACAACTTGGCTGCTAAGTCACCCCTGGCTCCTCCTAGGCGTTGGCAGAGATTGGATGGATCTAACTCTGTGCGTGCTGGGTGCAGTGTCTGACACTGCCCTAGATCTACATGCCACCAGCCCACAGCTGAGGGGCTTGGCAAGAAGCAAATGAAAACGAAAACAGATAAAAGAAGACCCCCCCCTTTTGGAGCCCCTTCTGAGGCCACACCCAGAGAAACAGCCCCAGCAATACAGGAACAGCAGGGTTTTCCCTTCAGCATCTACAAACCCTAGTCCTAGTGCACAGCTTGCAAAAGCACTGAAGTGACTTGGAGCCCATCTCATCACACCAGGGAGGTTCAGAGCTGGGGGAAAATGGGACCCTGGCCTTTGACAATCTAATTTTTACATAATCAGCCACCCTGCCAGTGGGGGAGGAGAAGCCTCGTCCAGGGGTTGGGATTTTCCTGGGTAACAGGACTCCCCTTTGAGTACTGAAGTCCAGGACAACACCCCACAAGGGGCAGGAAGAGAGAGTCAGATTCTCTACAAGGCCTGGCCAATAGCAGTGTTAAATGCCCTGGAGAAGGCCCATAAGCTCTGGCCACAGAGCCAGCTGGGAGTGCAGAGAAGGAACAAATCTCACCGTCCCCATTGATGAGTGAGATCAGCAGCTTCAGGTAGTTCTGTGTCTGTTGCACCAGGTCCCAGCTCTGTGGAGAACAGGAGGTGAGGCCCTTCATACAATTAACCACTGCCCTGCAGCATAGGGAGCCTGCTCTGCTCTCTCCGTGGCCGAGTGCAGGAAGAGGGCGCTAGGGCTAAGACAATCCCATGGCAATGTCCAAGGGGGCAGTCCTCCCACTCCCTACCCAGCCTCCCACTGGCATGCCAAGGTGCCAGCCGTGCCATCCAGGAGGCCCTGCAGACAAGACAAAGATTGGGACCAGGGGCTGGGCTATGAAAACAATTCTGCTGCTCACAGGACTTCCCCAAGAGGCTGGTCAAACCGCCGAGAACAGGTTCTTTTGACTAAAGGGAGGACACAGAACCCATTTTGCCATCACAACAGCAGGGCGAGCCAAGCTGCATAGGAAATACAGACATTCTGCTGAGCTCTCCCTGAGCCACAGTATGTTCAGAACAACGACACAGAGCCAATGAACTCCCTGCTGGGTGCCAACCCACTTCTGCCAAAGCCCCAGATGCGTATGGGGAAAGGTGACTGAGCGGTGGTGTTCCAGCTGCAGAGCGTGCTGGTTCAGGCATGCCGTGGTGAGGAGAGCCTCCCCTGCGACTGGAGTGCTCTGCCTGCAAGTCTCAGACAAGCTTAAGTGACCCCCTCCCCTTGCTCCAGACCGCAGGAACCACGGCATTCCCAGCAGGAGCACAGGAGGGTGGCTAAATCCAGAGAGCTCAAATGCTAAAGGGACACAGGAAGCAGATATTTTACCTCCCTAAACAAAACCCTTCCAGTGCCCTATTAGCACGATCACAGCCCATCGGCATTTGGCCACCAAGTGGTGACTGACTGCAAGAGGCTCTGCCTCTGCGGCAGCCTGCACTCCCCACCCCAGCAAGGCTGCACTGGGGGAATGCACGGATGGTGCAGGCAACTGAGCCGTCTAATCTCCCCCTGCCATCGAATGAAAGGCGGCTCCTCTCAGCCCTGCTTCAGCAGCAGCAAGTCAGAATGCTGCAGCAGCACCCGAAAGCACCGTGATGGTCAGACGTCCAAAGACACGTGCCCAGCTCTGCAAAGCCAGCACTCTCAGAAACAGATGAGTGGAGAAAGGGACACACCATATGCCTAGACGGCAGGGGCACATGTCCTCCCAACATTTTAGGCTGGGCCTTTCATCTGCTCTCCCCCAAGTCTTGTCAGGGTACCTGGGGTGAGCAATTCCCAGAGGTCATCCGCCTGCCCGGTATTCTGATGAATAGAGCCAGCCGTGCTCCAGGGCATCTGTGCTCCCACTGGCTCTGCTCTGAGACTGCTGGTTACTTTTGATTCATGTTGCTTATGTTGGTATTTTAATATTTTCGTTGCTGATCCTTTGACAAATAATGGCACCAACCCTGAGGGGCTGAGAGAGCCTCTTAGTACTCCAGGGTGAGCAGTGGAGGATGGAGCGTGCCAGGCGCTTCCACACTACAGCTTGCCATGGAAAACCGGAGAGGCTGAGGGAGCTCTGGAAGGTCAGGAAGCAAAGTGGAACAGCCTGTAGTATCCCTGTGCTCTAATGCAGCATGGAAACGCCAGCGTCAAGGAAGCCGTGGGAGCCTCAGCAGTAACCTGGGCTGCTGCTGCTGCAGCAGTGAATGAGGGGAGCACACTGGTCAGGTGAAGAGTCGTCCACGTTCCAGTCTGAACTGACTACAGAACCCCTGCCAGTCTGAACCAAGAGCACTGACTCACCTGGCTCCGTGAAGGGCAGAAAGAAAGAAGCCCTGGCTAATAATCTTTCAGTAGTAAATGAAATCTGTCCAGAAGTGCCATGGAAGGCATGCTCCTTCTGGCAGTGTCTAGCGAGCGCGGTAGGGTGTGTGCGCAATACTCGGCATTTACAGAGCTTTTGGCCCAGATTTTGCTTTTTGCTGGTGATGCATCAATACAACAGGATGAAATGCCAGCTATGCCAGAGACGTGATAGCGTGGCATGTATTTTACAATCACCTGTATGTACACCACCTTTGCAGGCCATCACCACACTGAACAATCGCACCTTGAGGACTCTATGGAGCAGGAGGGGTCATTGCTTCAGCAATCAGTCAAACGGGAACACCTTTTCTGTGGGCCCATCTGGAGAACCCAGGTCTCAAGTTCCTTTCACATGCACAACTGCACAAACCAACCCTGTGAGCCTACACAAGCTAGGTCTGTATAGCTAGGATTGGGTAATTTACTGCAGCTACTATTTGGCTACTCTGAAACCGAGGGATGTAGTTTTCAAATCTAAAAAGGGCCTTGCTAGCCGTATGTGAGGGCCCGTAACAAAATGGGGCATATTAGAACAGAACTGCCTATTTCTCTGGAGATTTTGAACCCATCTAGAAAACAGGCAGCCATTTTGCTGTCTCCCCACTGCCCAGTTTAATTTGCAACAGTACCTATGCATGCAAGCAAAATGGCTGAGGCCAGGAATGCCCCACGTTAGCGACATTTCTGGTTTGTGGGTGTAAGTCAGCTGCTTTTCTAGGCAATGCTGCAAGGGGGTATTGGAGTGATTGGACCAGACAAAGGTGGAGGGATGATTCCACAAGGTGACTCCGTGCACACAGGACAACATGGAGATGCTCAGGAGAGAAAAGAAAAGGAAGTGGAGGCTGGTGTCACTGGAAGAGTGGCGGGGACACAGAAGGAGGCCACGCAAGCACACACACTTTGAAAGTAAGAGCAAGAGCAGATGCGAGGACCCCAGTGAAGCAACACTGAGGGGGCAGGAGGCCTGGAGGGCCGTGCTTGGAAGCAAAGGCAGGAAAGGATTTGGCAGTGGCCTTTTGGATGGAACTGCCTCACCTGAAGTGATGAGGGGGGCTCATTCTGTACGTGCAGTTCCCTGCTCTTAGATACAAGGAGCGACAGCCTCATGATCTGAGTGCTTGCATGACAGGCGTGTTCCTGCTCGCAGGCCTCTGCTGCCGGGGAGCCATCCTAGCAGGGCATGCAGGTAAACCTGCCACCTAGACTCACTGGGTGATGCTGCACAACCTGTGCCATGCAAGAGGACAGACCAGAGAACCAGAATGGCCTTACTCTGAATTCACCAGCGAGTGCCCCACTCCTCACCTGGTACTCGCGCCAGTCAATGTTCAAAGACCGGGTCAGAGACACTGGGATACTTAATGGAGCATCTACGTAATCCTGCAAAGAGACACCTCAGTCAATCACAGAGTACTGCTGAAGAGAAGGCATTGGGAAGTAACTAGTTAGTTACAGACAGCAAAACAGCAAGAGATGAACAATGCTTCTAGCAGAAGGGGGCCCAGCAGCACAAACTGCGGAGTGATTTGATCACTGCTCCTGTTCTGGATTCTACCAGTGCACGACTGTTTCTGGATGGGGATATATGCAGTGAGGTGAACAATTATAACCTGCTGGAGTGACTGGCGTGCACCGTGATTGTTTCCCCGATCAGGAGAGGAGAAAGCTGGGGACAAAGCAGTCGCCAGCCATTTCCAAGAGTTCTCCATTGCAGAGCTGTCCCAGAGCCACACCCACCCAAGAACACAGGCTGCTTGAGAGCTGAAACCAGCTGTCTGCAGTGTCGCTCAGCACTCTGTGAACAAAGAAGTGATGCCCTTGCACAGCGCTTGGAGACTGGAAATATTTCAGCTTTGAGAGACCATTCCCCTGAAGAGAGCAGCATATTCCTTCCCCATACAGTACAGAGGCGCTCCCACAGATACTCCACACATCACAACGTGCTGCCCGCCGCCCACCACCCCAGAAATTCTTATGACTTGGGTTATTACCAGACCCCAACACACAGCTTCCCTCATGCTCTCACGCCCACATTCCCCTTGCTCTGCAGCATGCTTCTCCAAAATTGGAGACACCAGGACCGGTAGCTGCAAGGCATTCTTTCCCATTCTCCTTGCACAGCCAGCATCCAGAACAGACTACATCACTTCTGTTAAGCTCTGTCTGCCTCACGAGAGAGAGAAGCATTACAGTACAGCCTACAGCCAGGTGAGTTCAAGGGTCCCCAAGGCCTGTCCCATCCTCCCATGAAGGACAGACAAAGTAAATACAGAGGACATCTATTACATGATGACATCATGTTGCTGGATACCAGGACACCAGAACACCACACTTGCCATAGGAGGCTGGATCATTGGCCTGAGCTGCTCTTTAAGGAGTCAGCGTTCAGAGATGCCCTCCATTTGTTTGGTTTGAGGGCTGCTGATTCCCTTCCCGTGCCAGGGAGGAAGCATAGACTTCACCTGCTATTTTGAAAGTCCAAATTCAATTGCCAGACATAACAGACCCGAGAGCTACCCAGTCAGAAAGATCTTGGTACCTGCTTCCAGTTAAATATGAGACCCTCAGCTCTGTAATCCCGGTCTTTGTACTCCTTAAAAAATTCACAGCCTGCAAGAGAAGAGGTAATGAATGACAGTGCAGACAACTGATCACTAGCAGCAAAAGCCCCTTTGGGACTGGCAGCCTTAGCTCAGGAGCCAGAGGCCCCAGAGCACCACGTGAATCAGCAACAGTATGTCTGTAGGAGTTAAAGAGAAGCAATCAGCCCAGCATGCAGCAATGATCCAAAGTACTGACTCGGAGAAAGCAAACACCAAAGACTGAGCATGTCTGGAGCTTGAGAGACCCTGATATTCCTCCCTTCCCAAACGGCACATTTCACAGAGTGAGCCCCAGCTCCCAGGACCAGCACAAGGCTGTATCAGGATATCAGGAAAAAAAGGGAAGGAGGATCCAGGGAACTACAGGCCAGTCAGCCTCACCTCAGTCCCTGGAAAAATCATGGAGCAGGTCCTCAAAGAATCAATCCTGAAGCACTTGCATGAGAGGAAAGTGATCAGGAACAGACAGCATGGATTCACCAAGGGAAGGTCATGCCTGACTAATCTAATTGCCTTCTATGATGAGATTACTGGTTCTGTGGATGAAGGGAAAGCAGTGGATGTATTGTTTCTTGACTTTAGCAAAGCTTTTGACACGGTGTCCCACAGTATTCTTGTCAGCAAGTTAAGGAAGTATGGGCTGGATGAATGCACTATAAGGTGGGTAGAAAGCTGGCTAGATTGTCGGGCTCAACGGGTAGTGATCAACGGCTCCATGTCTAGTTGGCAGCCGGTATCAAGTGGAGTGCCCCAAGGGTCGGTCCTGGGGCCGGTTTTGCTCAATATCTTCATAAATGATCTGGAGGATGGTGTGGATTGCACTCTCAGCAAATTTGCGGATGATACTAAACTGGGAGGAGTGATAGATACGCTGGAGGGGAGAGATAGGATACAGAAGGACCTAGACAAATTGGAGGATTGGGCCAAAAGAAATCTGAGGAGGTTCAATAAGGATAAGTGCAGGGTCCTGCACTTAGGATGGAAGAATCCAATGCACCGCTACAGACTAGGGACCGAATGGCTAGGCAGCAGTTCTACGGAAAAGGACCTAGGGGTGACAGTGGACGAGAAGCTGGATATGAGTCAGCAGTGTGCCCTTGTTGCCAAGAAGGCCAATGGCATTTTGGGATGTATAAGTAGGGGCATAGCGAGCAGATCGAGGGACGTAATCGTTCCCCTCTATTCGACATTGGTGAGGCCTCATCTGGAGTACTGTGTCCAGTTTTGGGCCCCACACTACAAGAAGGATGTGGATAAATTGGAGAGAGTCCAGCGAAGGGCAACAAAAATGATTAGGGGTCTGGAACACATGAGTTATGAGGAGAGGCTGAGGGAGCTGGGATTGTTTAGCCTGCAGAAGAGAAGAATGAGGGGGGATTTGATAGCTGCTTTCAACTACCTGAAAGGGGGTTCCAAAGAGGATGGCTCTAGACTGTTCTCAATGGTAGCAGATGACAGAACGAGGAGTAATGGTCTCAAGTTGCAGTGGGGGAGGTTTAGATTGGATATTAGGAAAAACTTTTTCACTAAGAGGGTGGTGAAACACTGGAATGCGTTACCTAGGGAGGTGGTAGAATCTCCTTCCTTAGAGGTTTTTAAGGTCAGGCTTGACAAAGCCCTGGCTGGGATGATTTAACTGGGAATTGGTCCTGCTTCGAGCAGGGGGTTGGACTAGATGACCTTCAGGGGTCCCTTCCAACCCTGATATTCTATGATTCTATGATCCCAGCAGGTGCCTCAGCAGAGCCCTGGGGGAAGGCCAGGACTGAAGGGCCATGGCACACTAGGAAAGAGGTCCTCTGCCACTGAGCACCAGAGCCCCACACCTCCCCTCAGATCACACCAGAACATGTGCCGTGTTCACAGGAGCACCTTGGTAAGTGTTTCCAATAGGACTTGAGGAGCACACCAGTGACTGTTAGCCAGCTCGTCACAGGGAAGTGGGGCACCGAGTCCCCACCCACACGAGCAGGTCTAGAGGCAATGCCCTGGGGGAAGCCCAACAAGTTTCAGACAACCCCATGTTTGGGCAGTGTAAACCCTTGGTACACATTGACTGTTGGGAGGGAAAGAGACCTCTCTCTCTTTCCCCAGAGCCTCGTGGACTGGGGAAACCCACTAGCCCACACCTCCTATAGGCTATGTTTTTTGGGTCCTCTTCTCCTGTGAACCACCTTACTACTCTGCTACCATCTGCACAGGTCACTACCTCCCAGAATTCTCAGAACCAAGCAGAGAGAGTCACTTCAACCTCCTGCTGCTGCTGGGCAAAGCTCTGCATAGCAGCATTAACAGCTGTCTGCAGACTCCAGCAGACCACACTGCCCCAGGCTGGAGCTCTTCTGAACCACTGTTTGTACAGCAGTAGTGAGTAGAAACCAATCAGGGATCATGGCCCCACTGTGTTAGGCACTGCACACAAGATGGTCTCTGCCCCAGAGAGCTCTCATTCAAGGAACCAGAAAAGATAAGACATTTCTATTTTAAAAAAAAAAAAAAAAGTAAACTTATATCTGCCTTAAATGATGGCTTACCCAATGCCCCCACCCCAGTAAGAGGCTCCTAGACACTTTGTTGAGTTGTTAAGGGGGCTTTTCAAACATTAAACAAAAGAAGTCCAGAGAGCCAATTCAGAGTGATGGCCGTGAGAACTAACACTTAAGTACCGCAGTGATGGGCACATCAGATGTCTGCGAATGAGAGGAAGCCATTTGAATTGTGGGAGCATAAGCACATCTACAGACCCCTCTCCTTAAATACAAGTTCTCACTACATTCTGGAAACTCCAGATCAGAGCAAGCCAGGCTAAGAACCTGAAATTCTTACAATGCAACTCGTGATGCAACCTAAATTTGAGTATTTGCAGAGTTCTACCACCCATTCGCCATGTTGCTCAGCTTGTGTGTATATGCACCTGGCTTAACACAATACACAGCATTACTCTCCTTCCACACCACTACTGTGATCAGGCAGTACCCTGAAAGAGGTGAGGCTGGTACTCTAGTTACATTAAGCTCAAGCATGGAAGCGAGGAGCTGTTAAGGGCAGCAGCTGCAAGGGCACGAGGAGAGGAAGGAGCATTTTGATGTTGCTGTGACTATTATAAATGGGGTGTGCCAGGCCCCACAACACAGCAGCATTTCATTTTCACAGCCTCCTGTACAATTCTCCCTCCTCTGTCTAAAACCTTCACAGAATTAGCCACTGGGCCTGGCCATGGGGACATTATGGCTGAGCCTAAACTCTGTCGCACACACAGGTACTCAAATTGCGTAGAAGTGGCAGACAGTTGTTTTTGGAGCTAATCCCAGAAGCCAGCGACATTGGCTTCACTTCTTGGCACCTTGACTATGTGGCACAGCAAACTCAGTACATAGCTTAGTTTACATAACTTATATTAATGCAGGGCCCCCCACCCCCAGTTTTCTTTTGTCCCTGGTCTTTGTCTCAATCTGCACCTTCACTGTAGGACATCGGGGGACACGCTGGGAGGTCTGGCAAGGGAGAGGAGCGGGAGAGAAAGTTTGGGTTTGGAGCAGCAGCTGGGGCAGCTGAGGCTTTGCAATAGGGGGAATGAACCTCCCTTTCACCCCCCCCCCTTTGTGGGCAGGAGCAGGGGGATGGAGCCTTGAACCCCAAGAATCCCTCCCTTCCCCCTGGAAAGCAGCCATCTCACTCTCTGTACACTCAGCCATGTAACTGAATCCAGCACCAATGGGCAGGCTGAGCCCCTCCATTTGTGTTTAGGTGATTAGCATTAACCCGTAACTGACAAGGGCCCTCACTGTGCTCCAGAGCTAACACAACCAGCACGGCCAATCGGAGCAGTTCACACCAGTTGGCAGTCTCGGGGCACTGCAGACACAGCATGGCAGTTCTCTTCAGAATGACAAAGACTAGAAACATCTTTAAAATGTTTTTGTGACAAAAGGCGGCTTCCATGGCAAATTCCCAAGCATGCAGCCTGGGGTAGGGCTGCAATACCCTGGCTGGATATGTAGAGGAAGCTTCTGAACCCAGCTACAGCTCTGGGACCTCCTCCCTGCACTGGAGACCCTTCTGCCACCACAAGGAGGGCTCAATGCAGATTGGTGCTGGCTGAATCCTCTAGTTCCTCCCCTGCTGCCCTCAGGAGAGGAGTTCCCCCTCCAGAGAAAAAAAGAGAAACATCCAGCAACTCCCAGTTGCCTCACCACACACAGAGACAATTCCCAATCCCCACCAGCAGATTGTCACCTGGCCCTTGGGAGTCCCTCTGGACATCAGTCCTATACCTGGATATGGGATGGAGAGGAGGGTAAAATCGGCATAGCGCTGAGCTTTGTCCACTTTCTCGGAAGACGTCACACTGAGAAGAGAACGGTGCATGTATTTAGTGCAGGAGAGCACTCCATCTGGCCTATTAGAAGAATCTGCCTAGCCAAGCAATTCCTCCTACAGTGCTACATGACAGAAGAGCCCTGACTCCAGTTGTGGGTTGTGGAGTAAGAGTTCAGCTCACGGACAGTTACACGCTCAGCTCAGCTGAATCCCAGGGGAGGCATTCCCAGTCACTCATCCACCCACAGACTGGAAGGACGCCCCCACTCAAAAATGAGTCTCCTGATCATCGCACCAACTAGCCCCATAGGAGGAAGTCACATCACTGCTGTGATGTCATGGGGGATTGTGCCCCATGGATCAGAACATCCACCCACTCACTCCCTACTCAGAGAAGCCATAGGACAAACAGGAACCTATTGTGACTGCAGAAGATGACAAAGTTAAGCAGCTACCATGGTCTTCACAAAGGTACTGGTATGCTTGACTTGGGTATGGAAGAGAGGACCTTGATGTATGGCCTTGTATACCACTGGGGTTTCACTTTAAGGAACTTGCTGAATAGTCTGGATAACATCTCTAGAAGGCCCTGCCGTGAGGGATCTAGGAACTCCTTCTGGAATGCACTTTGGGGAAGTCAGACTTTTGTGCTTGCTTTAGTCGCTGGTCTGCACAATCTAAACAGCAGCTCCATTCCAAAGCCCACATATGGGCAAAGGACGCCATACTCACTTTAAGCCAAACTTCACTTTCTTGTTCTCCACCATCAGGTCACAGATATATCTGACAGACAGGTATCGAAGCAGCTTGATGTCATGTCCTCTGACCTTGTCAAACAGCTGGGAGTCTGCATTTCTGCAACAAGGTACAAGAGAAGGCAAGATTCTCAGGGCCAGTCAGACAGATTCAGTTTCCTTCCCGGGCTGCAGAGAGCCTGGATTCTACTTGCTGAAGTAGCACTCCACCAGCGGCACTCAAGCTGCCCTGCCCAGAGCTCTCCTACCCTACGCCACAGGAACGCCTTCGCACCCCTTCAGCAGAACCCTGCAACCAAGAAGCAGGCTGGTGCCATTCATTCCCACAACGACTGCCCAGCTGCTCACAGAGAACTCAGAGGGGCTAAAGGGCTAATTTTATAACAAGTAATTAGGCAGAATCTCAGAAGAGCCATCAGAACCGGTGTGACTTTCTGTGATGTACTTATCCTTGAGAGAAAGTGCACAGCACCACGCAAGAAAAGCAGGCCTCAGTTCCTGAAGGGCTGGAGGCCTTTCCCCCATGGACTTGGACACGCTCAAAAAGCAGAACCTCCTGGATGACCGAAAGCCAGTTTACACCCTGGAGCTATCCCATCTGCAGAGGCAGAGCGTGCATTCCTGCCCTTTTCCGAGGCTGCTACAAGCAGCCTGTTCCACATAACTATAACATGCAAGCGTCAGAACCCCAGTGTGGAGAAGTGAATGGAGTCCTCTAGCCATAGCCTAACAAGAGCTGGAAAGAAAGGGGCTAGCCACTTCCTGGTGTGATTCACAGATGTTACAGGCAGATGGGACTCCTGATAGCCTGGTCTGACCTGCTCAGCACAGACCTAGGACCTACTTGAATTCATTCCTGCTTCAAGTCCAACAGTGTGAATGTGATGCCTCGTTTATACAGCTCAGAGTCACACTGACTTTGTTGCCATATTGTGCTGTGAATCTGTCTAGTTCTGTTCGCCAACACCCATAGGTCTTTCTGCATTGCTGACCCCACATGGCTCTCCCACCCACCGAGTCTCAATTCGGCAGGATTTCCCTTCCAGGTACATCAGCTGCAGTTTGGCAGGCAGGCAGAACGGTGCTACATTCAGTGTCCTTCTTCCTGCCCCAAACCATCACCATGCTGCAGTCACATATGCAGCCTGTTCCTCTCTAAGCAGAGGTCCAGAACCATTTCTCCTCGGTCTGGATTATACATCTTGTAGACCCAGAAGTACCACTTCTGCGTAATTTAGGAGCCTCTTTAATGACTTGGGATCTGCCTGCCCCAGTCCCTCCCTCTCTCAGCCTCCAGTGGGAGATGGGGCGGCTTTAGGGAGCTAGTTGGCCCCAGAGTGCTAGCACATTCGGTTTTAGTTTTTGTACCTACCCCCGAGACGTTCTGAAGGGCCCGTCTTTATGAGCAAGGCAAACAAGAGCCCACAGCCTGCAGTGACCCCACACTGCACCCACAGTTCAGTTTAGACATGAAGGAGTTGGAAATTCAGAGACTGAACTAGCCAATCAGCTCTTAACTCCTCTCCCTCCACCCAAATACCACGTACAGACCTGAGCGCAGAGTCTTCTTCTGAAAGGTCTTCGGTATCAGCCCAAGGATCATCCGAGCCCCCTGCAGGGAAGCCACAGCAGGGACCATGCATTAGTGGCCAAGGCTTGTGTCACAACTCCAGCTTCTCTCCCACTTCCCATCCAAGTGGGTTACAAGTCTCACTTAAAAGAGTTCTCAGCTGTGACCATCTCCAGCGAGAAACAACCCCATTGTCCCACACACCCAGCCCATCAGTTTCATGAGAGCAAGAAAGGGTTTGGACAACCCAGGCAGGTTTGTTCCAGGATGGAATCCAGAGCGGAAAGATGCCATTAGATCACAGAACCATTCTCTGGCAGCTACGGCAGAAAAATTACCCACGCTCACTAGTGTTTTGTCCAGTCTAGTTTTAGAAGATCCATGTTATGGGCTCCTGCCACTTCCCTTGAGACTCACAGACTAATACATGTTACCATTACCAGAGTTGCAATCCTAAACCTAGATTTTATGCCCTTATTCCTAGTTCCATTCCATGTAGTACACCAAGTTTTTCACCCTTTTAGTGACAACACCCTTCAAATATTTGCAGATCAATGCTCCCCGCCAGCCACCCTTTAACCAAGCTAGATATACTGATCTCCATAATGACAGGTTTCAGAGTAGCAGCCGTGTTAGTCTGTATTCGCAAAAAGAAAAGGAGGACTTGTGGCACCTTCGAGACTAACCAATTTATTTGAGCATAAGCTTTTGTGAGCTACAGCTCACTTCATCGGATGCATTCATCATGTTCTCTGTGTATATAAATCTCCCCACTGTATTTTCCACTGAATGCATCCGACGAAGTGAGCTGTAGCTCACGAAAGCTATGCTCAAATAAATTGGTTAGTCTCTAAGGTGCCACAAGTACTCCTTTTTGATCTCCATAAGTCACTCCCTCCATCACCCAAACATTTTTTGCTACTATTCATTGAACTCTCAACTGTGTCAATACCTTTCTGGAAATCAGGAGCCCAGAAACAGACACCATATTCCAGGGTGGTACCATACCAGACAGAGATTATTACATACTGGCCCACACACCCACCCCCAAATACGCCCAGGTGCTATATTCACACTGATTTTCAGGCACTGAATAGCCACTCAAGTATATATGCTTCCGCACTTACCTGAGAAAATGTAGTTGTACCCAGTACGTCCATACAGTTCTCCCCATCCAGCCAGGGTCGCTGACCTACAAACATGCTGGAGAAAATGTCGTTATTAACTACTTATAAAAATTGTATTCCTCTGAAGGCCTTCTGCCCATTTACACTGAAAGCCCATGCCTTGTTTCTGTCCACTGAGAGCCCTCTATCTCATCATTCTCACTTCCCAGGTTTCTCCCTGGAACTGAGTCTCTATGGTCTGGATTATTTTTCATTAGCTTGTGTATTTTCCAGATGAATTTCAGGGTTATTTCTTACCACATTTCTGACCTCTAGTGCCTGTATTTTCCTCAGTCTCACTAAATTAGTCATGTTGGAGTTCTGATAACATACTGGTTGAACCTGATCTTCCCAATCATTACCTCACTACCCTCCCCCCTACCCCCCACCAATTGATGACATCGATTCACTCGTTCTTAAGGGCCAGCAAAGTCCACATGACAGTATCCTAGCCACTGGTATTTCGGGTAAGACATAATGAGCCAGAAGACCGTTAACATAGTTCTTCAAGTGTGCCACACATGTCCTTCCACTGTAGGTGCATGTGCTACTCCTGGGGGAATTCTGTGCCACCGCGCAATGCAGAATTTGGCAGAAATTAACGTTGTGCGCGCAGAATTTCCTTTCCCCGCACAGAAATGGGCTGCAATGCTGCTAGCCACCACTACGGGCTGCTGGATCAGGGAGAGAGCTAGTGTGTTCCTGACAGCTGCACTTCCCAGCATGCCCTGAGGGAAGGAGAGGGCAGTGTCTGGGCTGGGGGAGCCTCAGCTGGGCTCTGGGTGGGTTGGGGGGGGGGAAGAGGAAGGTGGCAAAGAAACAGGAACTGGGTTGTCATAGGGGTTTCTTTAACTCTCTTCTCCTGGGAGAGTTTTTGTGTGTGTCTGTATTGTGACAGGTCTCAGAGGAGCGGCCGTGTTCGTCTGTATCCACACAAAGAACAGGAGGACTTGTGCCACCTTAGAGACTAACCAATTTATCTGAGCATAAGCTTTCGTGAGCTACAGCTCACTTCATTGTTTCAGACATACTTGCTGGCAGGTATTTTGAAATAAATTACCAAAGTAACTGAAACTGGTGTGATTATGTCGTGTGATTTTGACAAATAAAATTGGCAGAATTTTAAAATGTCGTGTGCAGAATTTTTAAATAGTAAAGTGCACCTCAGGTACAGCTGGAGATTTTCCCCTCCACAGCACCTGTCGGGGCAGCTTGAGCGCCCTCTTGTGCCTCACACCACTGCATGCAGCTACAGAGGACCACACTGTCCCCAACTCCCCTCCGTTCCTTCCCTGCCTGGGTAAGACTCCGACAGAGAGGAGAAGGAGGGCGAGTTGTGGAATGGGCATGTACAACATGTCTCGAAGAACCACCATGATGGAAAGGTAGGAACCCGTTTTTTCTTCAAGTGACTGTTCACGTCCGTTCCACTGTAGGTGACTCACACGCAGTTTGAGCTGGAGGTGGGCTTGGAGTCTACTCAAAGACTGTAGGAGCACTCATCCAAATCTGGCATTGCCTCTAGATTGATGGGAGATGGCCGAGTGAGATGCAAACGTATGGCATGCTGACCAGGTTGTCAACTTACAAATATCAGACCGTGAATACAAACCAGAAAGACCGCAAAAGCTGCCTGTGACATGGTCAAGTGAGCCATCACTTCACCTGATGTTCCACCTCTGAGTAATCAGTGGCATAAATGAATACAGGCAGAGACCCTCTGGGGGGCCCTTTACTCTGTCTGACACGGTGAAGAAGAGCTGACAGCTAGTCCAATCCAATAAAAAGCTGAAGCTCTTCTAACATCTAGAATATGGAGATTTTCTTCCCCTTTACTCAACTGGGGCTTTGGAAAGAAAGTCAGGAAATAAATTGTTTTATTCACGTGAAATCCGGAAACCATTTCAGACAGGAATTTAGGGTGCAGTCGAAGGAAAACCTAGGCCCTCAGGAAAGTTGTAAAGAGAGGCTCTGATACTAAAGCTCTCAGCTCCCCATCTCTCCTGGCCAAGGTTATAGCAACCAGAAAACCCACTTTCACAGACAGATATAAGAGAGAACAACCTGCCAGTGGCCTAAAGGGGGGCCACCCATCACCTTTTCTAGCACCAAATTTAAACTCTACTGTGGAACTGGGCTATGAACCTGTGGGTATAATCTGTGAAAACCTCTTAGAAATCTGATGGACATAGGGTTTGAAAAAGTTGATTGGTTATCCACAGGAGGGTGGAAAGCTGAGATGATATCCGGGTGGATGGTGATGGAACTATGAGCTAACCTTCCTGGCTCAGAAACAAAAGACAGTCCACAATAATGGCAATTTGGAGCCTGAGACAGGAGGCGTGCCACTTTGTATGGCCCATACAGAAAACCCCTTCTATTTAGCACGGTTACTCGATGTAGTTGAAGGCTTCCTGCACCTCCTGAGAGCAAACTCATTCGGGGTAGTCAGCCATGAAGCATCCAAGCAGTCAGGTGCAGGGCTTAAAGGCTAGGATGATGGAAGTGGCCATGGCCCTGGGAGATCACATTCACATCTCTTGGGAGTGGCAGCGGAGGTCTGATCAGTGGTTTTCAATTCTACTAGTCCCAGTGTCGACAGGGCCATGCAGGGGCTCTTAGAATAAGGTGAGCGGTATCTTGCTTGACTTCAGATAGGACTTTGAGCAGGAGCGGAACCGGTGGGAAGACATACAGCAGGCCTCTCAACCGGACCAGGAGGAAAGCGTCTGTCAGTGAACCTGGGCTGTGACCCGCTTGGGAACAATAAAGATGACTTTTTTGTTTTCTCTTGTTGCAACCATATTGGGGAGATCCCCACTGCTGGAAAATGGACCTGGATACATCTGGTCGAAGAGACTACTCATGGTGACCTGTCAACAGTCTGCTCAGGTGGTCGGCCAGATGTTTAGAACTCCCAGAAGGTACACAGCTTTCAGACTGATGGAACTGGCAATGCAGAAATCCCAAAGGAGGATCGCCTCCTGGCATAACTTTGACAAACCTCCTTCTACACTCCACCCTCCATTGCTTGTTTACACAGAACATGGCTGCTGTGTTGTCCATGAGTAACAACAAATTCCACCTCGATATGCAGAAGGAATGCCATAGAAGCCAAACAGATGGCCCAGAGCTCCTTGATATTTATATGGAGACTTAGATCCTGGAGAGACCAAAGGCCCCAAGTCTGACAAGGACCTAAGTGGCTCCCCAACCTAGATCTGATGCATCTGTGACTAGGGTGAGAGTCTGTAGTGGAGGGGCAAAGGGAACTCCTCACAGATGTTCGTATGTTCTACCCACTAGTACAGGGAGGACAAGACCTGAGCAGGCCTATATAATGACGAGCCAATGAGTACACCATGGCTAGCCAACCCTGTAGTGCTCCGGAGGTGCAGTCTGGCAGGCTGCATCATATAAGTGCATGCTGCTATGCATCCTAGAAGACTGAGGCTGTTCTGAACCGTGGTGACAGGGCACCTCTAGATCTACTTGGCTCTAGCAGGAAAGCCTGGTCTTGGTAGAGTCCAGGACCCCGCAGTGAATTCTGTTCTTTGAACAGGAGACAGAATGGATTTCTCTCTACTGATTAGAAGCTCCAGCACATCGAACATGTACAAATAGTGGCTACACTGGAGAGTACCCGAGACCTGGACCAGCCAGTCGTCCACGTAAAGAAATACGTGGACTCCCAACCTTTGCAGGAATGCTGCTGCTACAGCCACACATTTCACGAATATGCGAGGGGCTACTGACAGTCCAAAAGGCAGTACTGCAGATTGGTAGGAGAATTTGTTGAACATGAACCTCAGAAATTTTCAGTGGCTCTGGTGAATTGCTATGGGAAAATAATAGGGCTGACAAGCAATTAAAAAAATTAATCGTGATTAATCGCACAATTAAAGTTAATTGCGATTAATCACACTGTTAAACATTAATAGAATACCATTTATTTAAAATTTTTTGGATGTTTTCTACACTTTAAAATATATTGATTTCAATTACAACACAGAATACAAAGGGTACAGTAGCTCACTTTATATTTATTTTTATTACAAATATTTGCACTGTAAAAAACAAAAATAGTATATTTCAATTCACCTAATACAAGTACTGTAGTGCAATCTCTTTATCATGGAAGTTGAACTTACAACTGTAGAATTATGTACAAAAAATAACTGCATTCAAATATAAAACAATGTAAAGCTTTAGAGCCTACAAGTCCACCCGGACCTACTTCAGCCAATAGCGCAGACAAACAAGTTTGTTTACATTTGCAGGAGATAATGCTGCCCACTTCTTGTTTACAATGTCACCTGAAAGCGAGAACAGGCATTTGCATGGCACTGTTGTAGCTGGCATCACAAGATATTTACATGCCAGATGCGCTAAAGAGTCCTATGTCCCTTCATACTTCAACCACCATCCCAGAGGACATGCGTCCATGCGGACGATGGGTTCTGCTCAATAACGATCCAAAGCAGTGCAGACCGACACACGTTCATTTTCACCATCTGAGTCAGATGCCACCCGCAGAAGGTTGATTTTCTTTTTTGGTGGTTCAGGTTCTGTGGTTTCCGCATCAAAATCTTGCTCTTTTAAGACTTCTGAAAGCAAGCTCCACACCTCGTCCCTCTCAGATTTTGAAAGGCACTTCTGATTCTTAAACCTTGGGTCGAGTGCTATAGCTATTTTTAAAAATCTCATGTTGGTACCTTCTTTGCATTTTGTCAAATGGGCAGTGACAGTGTTCGTAAATCAAACAACATGAGCAATCATCCAAGATTGCTATAACATGAAATATATGGCAGAATGCAGGTAAAACAGAGCAGAGGACATACAATTCTCCCCCAAGGAGTTCAGTCACAAATTTAATTAATGCACTATTTTTTTTAAAATGAACATCAGCAGCATGAAAGCATGTCCTTCGGAATCGTGGCTGAAGCATGAAGGGGCATACGAATGTTTAGCATATCTGGCATGTAAATACCTTGCCATGCTGACTACAAAAGTCCCATGCAAACTCCTGTTCTCACTTTCTAGTGACATTGCAAATAAGAAGCGGGCAGCATTATCTCCTTTCCCTTCAGAGCAGAGGCCTGGTGTCCCTGCCTCTCTCTTTCATTGGGAGCAGCAATGCCTAGGAGCGTGCGCAAGGGTGGGTGTAGAACTGCTCACATCCGTGTGAAGGGACATAGTATTTCCTCTCCACCCTTTTAGCAGTGAAAAGAAGGGAAGATGGGGTTTGCCACAAACCCCTGAAAGGTTCCAGGATAGCCTCACTACTTGAGAGAGCTACCCCAGAGGGCCTGCAGAGGCTAAAACATCCACTAGCCTCTGGGACCTTCCCTGCACCTCTCCTGGTTGGCTATCCAGAGCTGCAGTCCCTCTCCTCCACAGGGGTTGTTGAGCTCTGAAAGCATCAGGGGACGCGGGAGGTGAGAAGTAGGCTCAGTTACCTCTGCCACATCAGATGACAAAGAAGAGACTAAGGGTTGTTAATGAGGACCCTCCTCCAGTTCCTCTACAGGAGAGTCCTGAGCAGGCGGTGCCACCAGCAGGGTACTGGTCCCGTACTGAAGGAGGGAAGGGGCTGACCTTCCTGTGGATGCTCCCAGCACCTAGCTATTGTAGAAGGACAGGGAGGGAGCACTGACGAGGCGGCCAGTTCCTCAGGCCATGGGAGAGCTGGCCCCATGGGTGCGGGAGACCAGCTCAGTCTGGGTGAAATCATCACCTCTCGACAGACTCCCACACAGAGGTGCCGCAAGAGCAGAAGCTGCCGGCACCAGTGTGCTCTGGGGCTGGAGCTAGGACAGCAGGAGCACGTACTTCTAGTACAGGTACTACGCAAGGCTCCCGAGTCACATGAGAAGCCAGCACCGAGTCCCTGGCTGCCTCAAAAGCCTTGGCTGTAGACGGCCCTGGAAAGGGCTCCTGAGCCTGCTCGTCCTTTGGAGAGCGTCTCAGACCCTTCCTGGGGTCTGGAGCCTGTAATCCCTCCTGGCTCACAGATTACTCCTGGGGACATGACTAAGTGCCCCTCCGAGGCCTTGCATCCACTTGGTGCCTCCTTAGTAGGATCAGAAGCCCCAGTACAGAGTCTTGAAGAGACTTACGCAATAGGCACCAGCAACGCAGATCTACCCGTGGACTCAGTCGCGGGGGAGCACTCCAAACCAACTTGATGTCAGGAGCTGTGGCTCTTGAATCTGGGTCCTGAGGGCTCTTTGGAGCTAGTAAGTTCCAACCTGGCACCCAGGGACCTGCTAACAGTTGCCAGAATAGAGGCTGAGCCTTGACAGAGGGCTCCAGTCCTGGATTCCAAATGGCAGAAAGCTGGGGGTCCTGACTAGCTCACAGCTTCTGTATAAACCCAGCACAGGAACAGGAAGTTGTCCATGCAACTGGGATCCCCCTGCTTCGGGCTGCTTCCCCTACAATACCAGTTCCTGCTCCTTGCTACTGACCTCCTGGTAACTTGATCCTGTCTGCCTCCTGACACCTGACTCTCGATTTTGTCCTCTGGCTTGCTTTGGACTCTGACCTCCTGGCATCTGACCCGGCCCAACTCCTGCTCTGACCACTAGGTCAGACCACCCATGCTCCAGCTGTGACACGTGGACGTGCTCAGTACCCATTCGGAGTGGGAAGGTTCTGACGGCGGACGAAGCACAGGCACCATAAGCAGGTACTTGACCCTGGCAGCCCTGTCCTTTCTCGAGTGGGGTTTGAACCCTCTACAAAGGTGACATTTGTCATTTTCATGCACTTCTCCCCAACACTAAATGCAGCTGGGGTGTGGATCGCTCACTAGCATAGACCTGTTACATGAACAGCAGGCCCTGATGCCAAAAAAATGGGCCATCAGTCCGGTACCCAACCAGGCACGGGTAACCCTATGCTAACAAATACTATTCTAAACTTAGTCTTGTAACCAACTATTTACAGATATACCAGACAAGACCGAAAACTAACGCTACAGGCACCATGTACCCTAACGGAGTGAAGACATGTAGATACTAAGATCATTGTTCCAACAACTGTCACTGGCAGTAGGAAGGAGCTGAGGCAGGTCGGGGGTAGTATGGCCTTTTATACCCACGTGCAGTAGCATGAGGTACCAAAGGGTGCTCACGCTGCCAACAGGTACTGCTGAGGGAAAAATCACTGACAACTCTGCACAAGGCATGCACACACCTACAGTGGAATGGACACGTGCAATCACTCAAAGAAGAACTGTGGTACGTACAGTGTTCCCACAAACTCCCTTCTATGTAATGTCTTTTCCAAAAACATCACTATTGCATGATCTCTTTGATCTTTGCCAATTAAGGAACGTTACAATTATGCTGAAGTCTTGTACTTCCAGCGCCATCACTGCTGTCAAGCAGAAGTTCAAGATGTCATTCCCTACACTGGCCACTTCAGACCATAGAGCTCATCCCTCCAGTAGCCCCATAATCCCTTTCTGTCCCAGTTCAAGAGATGAAAAGCAAGAGTCCCCTAGCTCCCTTGGGATAATGGAAATACAAGAATCAGGGACGCTGGAGACAAAGCTCCATTAGGCCATCTCTGTGATCTTGCCTTCCCCCACTGCATATACAGCAAGCTACTTAATCTGGTCAGGAACAACCTCTGAGGCACACCTCCAGAATAAAACTATTTGAGAGTACGTTTCCAGCAAAGACAGGGCTACAGAGAAGGGTATTCCTCCCTCTCAACCCCCTCCCCTGAAATTTCCCTAGCTCTTCAGGAAGAATCTGGCAATCAGTGAGATGCCAGATGAGGCTTTGTTTGGCACCCTGGCACACTAGAGTGGTTGCTTGATGAAGCAGTACAATGTTATAATCTCCAATGCTGTTCTCAGAGTGAGTGTAAGAGCTCCATCCAAGAGCAGTGCTTCCCCCCTAACCCCAGCTTCCAGGATCCTAGCACAAATCCCACCTGTTTGGGGCCTGGAGCACCAAGCAGCGATCATCTCCATCACTGCTCCAAGGCACCTTATCAGACTCTTTAGTCTGTGCCCAGGAATAGACACGGAGGGGGCAGGAGAGCTGATGGCCCATAAAGACCTGCCTCTGCATAGCTCCAGTAAACACTGTTCAGAATGCCAGGAGAAAGGACATTCCTGAAGCTAAAGCAAACAAGACAAATGTGCTTATGCAGCTTTACCTTTCCCTTGTACAGAATGACTGGGCAGACAAATCGTCCTCTACATCTGGCCATCTTACTGCGGCTGATGAGGTCCTGCAGTTTGCTGACCTGCACAGTGCTCTCAAACCTATCAAACAGAGAGAAGAGTCCCCATTATCTCATATCATCATGGTGGTCACATTTTGGCTACAATCTCAGCACCCACATCCCTTTAGCTGAAAGGCCGGCTATGAAGTCAAGGAGCCAGGCGACTCTTTGAGGAACTGCTTGGCTTGTAATCAGATGGATGTGCTCCCACCACCCAAGTCAATCTCTTGCTGCTGAAAAGCACCGGCCTGGTTTGCTCTTGAAGACACTCACTGCAGCAGGATCAGGTGTGCAGAAAGTCTGTTGTCACATGCGATGCTCCTGGGGGTATATGCAAGGCTGTGAGGCACTTTGCTACCACCTGCCCTGAGAGTGAGAGCATCTTGTCTGCACCTGCCAGGGGTCGGGTCCCTGACAACCCTAGGCACAGAAGCACAAACACTCCTCCGTCACCACCAGCCTCAGCTCTGCTGCCCCTCTACAGGTAAGCGATAGATGTACTCCAAGTCCTCCAAACAGCCCCGGAAAGCCCAACCCCTGCTCCACCAGACACACAAATTACCAGAACCGCTTTCTCAAAGGAACAGGACGCAACAGCTTATTAGCCCACCTTAGATTACAGCTCCACTTTAAACAAATCTAAGTGGTGTATGTTTAGAGAAAGAAAGTATAAGTTTATTTAGCAAAGAACAGAGATTCATGAAATAGAAAACAAATACAGAAGAACCTCAGAGTTACAAACACCAGAGTTATGAACTGAGCAGTCAACCACACACCTCATTTGGAACCAGAAGTAGAGACCCAAAAAAAGCAAATACAGTACAGTACTGTGTTAAACTCGGAGGTTCTTTTGTATTGGAAACAAAAGGTTAAACAGATAAACTCATACCACACTTTCTATGGTTTAAACTCACCTAACAAGTTCTCCTCCTGTCCAAAAAAATTTCTCACCCAAAGTTCTTTGCAGCATTTTCAGACAAGCCTGGCTGAGATCCCCTTTTCATGAAGCAAACCCACTGTCAGTTTATTTCCTTGGTGAAGGATGCCAGGATGTGTGTTTTCCACCCCGAGAAATACCAGATCAAACATCTGACCTTCACCTGAAAACAGAATTCCCTCCCCCATGTCCCGCTGTTTACCTCTCCCTGTTAACTTCCTTCTGAAATCTCCACAAGATCGCCATTAGCATTTGACTTAGGATGCTAACAAAGGTCTACTGTAACACAACACACAGTACTCAGTGCTTAGCTAGGGCAATAACATCTACCCCTCCTGTCTAGCAACGTTTGTCTCAAAGCACGCTACCTTTGAGTGACCTGCCTAGAATTACAAGGCCCTAAGGACATAATTTCCCGTATATACATATATCTTCTTACACATTAAGTGCACACACCTCTCGCAATGATTTCGCTGACCAGTGAGACACAGGCTTTTGTTGGAGACCTTCCATGACATTCCCTGGGGGACTAGCAGGTAGACACCAATCCCAGGGGATCTCTGTAACCCTCAGGCACTCCTGGGCCCAATGCCAAAGAGGTCCCTGGGTCACAGCGTGACACTGTTTCGGGTTTACCTGACGTGTCTGGGGCAGATCCTCCCGCTGTGAGCAGGTGGCCGTGAAGGGCTGGAAGCCCACCAAAGGAAACACTCCCCTGCCACTGGCTGCTAGTGACACAGGTGTTCTGCTTCTGTCCCCTGGAGCTCCGCTCTTTCCCCATTCAGGCTAGTAATTTACACACCCCACCTTGTTACACTTGAGAGCCCAATCCCCTATTCTGGACACCTGCAAAGTGCACCGATCCACTGCCTCCATGGAAGCAAGCCTCCCAGCTCACTGGTTTCACCTCCGTGCAACCCTCTCCTTAGCACAAGGCCCTTAGACAAGTCTGTAGTGAAACCAAACGGATGGGTATGTGATAGCGCTTGACCTAGAGATTCCAATATAAATGAGTATAAGGATTTGGAACACAAGATTACAGAAAAAACAAACTGCAATCTCTAGCCTATAATTATTACCAAGTTACTAACCCATCTCAGAAGGTATTTCTCATCCAAGGGTGGTCTTTGCAGCACCTGTCCAGCTCAAGGTGGGACCCACTTTTCATGTCACCCCTCCACCCCTGCTCATAGAGTCTCCTCCTGTAACGGATAACCATGTGGGCCATTTCTTCTGCGCTTAGACACTCACAAGCTATTGTTTCTTAGACCAGGGCCCCCCTCTTCCCAAAACTCTCCTGGCTGTAGTTTGCCTTTGTAAATCTCCAGCCTGCATCTAGTACAGAGAGGCTGTCTCCAGGGACAATCATTGTTCTCATGGGACGGTCACTGTTCTCATGGGACAGGAGATCCTTGGCATGGCTACGGCTGGCCTGGGTCAGCTGACCAGGCCTCACACAGTATGTAATGTTGTAAAATTAAAATTGTAAAATTGCAGTGTAGCTTTTTGGATTTGGGCTGCAGCCCGAGCTCTGGGACCCCATGAGGGGGCAGGGTACCAAAGGCTGCGCTCCAGGCCAAGCCTGAACGTTTAGCCCCGCACTCCAGGCCCCATGAGCCCGAGCGATCTGACCCGTGCCAACCGCGGCCGGGCCACAGGTCTTTTATTCCAGTGTAGACGTATCCAGGCTGATTGGGTCAGCTCTCAGAATGCCCCTCCACAGGTGACAGGTTTCTCTTCTGGCAGACTTGGAACAGAATATCCTACATGTTACACAACTCCACAATTGCTCTCCATACAAACACCTTACACTAACCATTACAGTCGGCTAGTTCTTAGCTTTGGGCAGAGACCACACACAATCCGTTTCAGTAGGGCATTGAGAAAATGGTCGGACCCAGATGTAATATACCTGCCTGGGCATGTTTGGACATGTCTGTTTCTTACATGGCTATCAGAATAGCCTGCTATAGACTGGCTGCAGCAGCATCGCAGTTCACTAGTTTAAGGCACTAGTAAATGATATGACCATGCCTTGTAAAAAATCCACTCTATTTTCACACTGTTTTTAACTCAGAAAAACCCAAACCCTCACACCCACTGTTCAGGCTGCATTTATATACACAGATCAAAAAAGAGAGAACTCAAGCCTGAATGCTCACTGGACTTTAATGTTGATGACTTGTGCATGTACATTTTAGCATAATTAGACTTATCAGCAGTCTAAAACTGGCTGGAAATTAGAGTGCTAGGTAATTAGATTAATGACGCATCTAGAGAAGCATCTCCACTGTCCAGGCTGCACTCAGCTATCCAGTTAAAGCGAAACTGAAATCCCAAAAGTTTTAGCCCTGAAGACACATCGACCACAAGCTAAACCTCTGTCACTTACACCCACATGAGAGTTTAGGGTTTATAAGAATATGAAGCTACTCCTCAATGGGTTCTGGATGACTCAAAATGATCCATGGGTAGAGTTTGTGGTCGGTATTTAACATTTTTCATATTCTTCTCATAGACAACTTTATTTCAGCAGCTCTCCACTTACAAAGAATTTTGATATGCAGAGGATTTTAAAGAATTAAAAAAACCCAAGTAGTTGCCATTCTTTAATGGTTTGCATTCACAGCCATCTAGGGGAAGTTAGTAAAATACCAACATGTAAGATTATACATAACAGTGGGTAAGCCTGTGTGAACCTTCGTACAGGAAAAAGTTACCGAAAGATGCATCTGCCCAGAAGAGACTCTGCAGAGACGAGGTCCCTGTTTCAACAGAGATTAGGAGCTCTGCAAGGCAAGCACCTTCTCATGTATCTCAGAGTGCGCTCCTCTACTGCACACCGGAGGGGTACAGAGGGGAGAGCCTGGTGGCAAAGAAGACTGTGCCCAATACACAGTTTAATGCCAACCCAATTTAAACCTGGCAGTTAATAAAATTCCCAAAGTAAAAGCCTCTGTTACCTGATGGGTTGCGGAGGTAATATATAGCCTTTCTGCACAGGTATGCCACTACAGCATTTTCCATAACAAAAATGTAATCCGTAGAGGCTCGAAGCAATCAGTTAAGGTAACGTCCCTAAAATTCCCACTATCCTTTATGGTTCCTAAATCTGGTTGGCAATACAGTCAAATGAGACATCATCTAGCACAGTCGGACAGACAGCGTCCGAGACGTATACATCAGGAATGTGTACGTTGAAAGAGTTCATAGCGCGCCTTGTTTAAACTGGATGTGTAATGTGAAAATTCACAGAGTCAGGAACTAATTTCACAGACCAAAAAAGCTTTCTTCATGCAGAGCTCAGGTGCCCGGTGGTATCTCGTGTCCTTTCAGAATGTCGAGCTCTGCAAAATAAACTTCCAAAAACCAGGAAATAGAGAGTTAAGGTAAATGCTTATGCAACCTTAACTCTGCCCCCACTGGAGCTGGCAATGGCCACTGGCAGTTATCTGCATGCACTCCAGCTGCATTCACTGTCTTAGGTATAGGCATTAGATAGAAGAGCTGGGACTATGATATGAAGTGATCTTGGGGGCAGTATGTGTGTGAGCCCCTCTTCCTGACCCCCTCATGTTGGTGGGGGAGAGAGATGACACAAAAGAGGTACACGTGTACCTTGAGAGATCCAGTATGCCTCATCTCAGCACTGTGCTATGTGAGTCATGGGCTTGGCAGCAGTTAGGTGGGAGAGGAGCATAGTCTGTGGGTAAGTGAAAAGCATTAGATGGCATTGTGCGCACAAGGGTGAAGGGGTTGTAACAATTAGCAGATACGGTGTACTGTCTGTGGAGTAGGCAGATTATTTGAGCATAGGACAGGTGAAGTAGCTGCTGCTCAGTACAGGGCAGAGGCAGATTGTAAGTATGTGTTATGAGCACATTGGGGCATTACCTCAATTAGGGCAGAGTTAAAGTTGTGTGTTTATGTACCTTCACTCTATATGTCCCGGTTTTCAGAGGTTTGAGATTTGCTCAACTCAGTCTTCTGGAACGGTGCAATATACCATTGGATAACCTTAACTGTATGTTACAATGTTTGTTGCCAGTGAATTTCCTAGGTGGGTGGTTTGGGGTTTGTTTTTTTGGGGGGATGGGGGCAGAGAGTTATAACAGAAAGTGTGTTGTGGGTAGAAGTTTGCGGACATTTAGGCAGTTGTAATTCTCTTATAGGTCTGCAACTGAGACTCTGCTGTGACCAGTTGATAATACCTAACCCTTGTATAGCACTTTTCATCAGTAGCTCCAAAGGATGGAAACATCTCTGTGGTACAGATGAGGAAACTGAGGCAAAGAAATGAAGTGCTTCACCAAAGTCAACCTTCACGCCAGTGGCAGAGCCAGGAACACAGCCCCAGTTTTCTGAGTCCCAGTAGGCCACAAAGACACTAGGTGATTGCTAGGTGCCCACCTCCCTCGGTGTACTTTCTTCTAGTGGAGTGGGGATAACCACTGTGCTTTGAAGTGTGGGTATCATGCAATTGCTAACAGGGCCAATGCCAGAAATCTCATCTGTGGGCTACGTCCCAAGAACTTGACAGTTTGCTTATGTCATAAACATACAGCTAAGGGTAGCATAAAATCCCTCCTTTACCTGTAAGGGGTTAAGAAGCTCAAATAACCTGGTTGGCTCCTAACCAAAAGGACCAATAAGGGAAAAAGATCCTTTCAAATCTGTGGGGGGAGGTTTTGTTTGTGTGGTCTTTTGTTGTTCTCTCTGGGACAGAGCGAGACCAGGGCAGGGAAAAAAAAAAACCTCTCCTAAAACCCTTCCTGAAATAAGCATCTAGATTACAAAAATTGTAAGTAAAGCAAGGAAATGCGTTAGCTTGTGAATTTTCCCCTATGCTAAGCGGGAGGTTTATTCCTGTTTTTTGTAACTTTAAAGTTTTGCCTAGAGGGGAATCCTCTGTGTTTTAAATCTTATTACCCTGTAAAATTATCTTCCATCCTGATTTTACAGAGGTGTTTCTTTTACTTTTTCTTTATAATAAAGTTCTGTTTTTAAAAACCTGATTGGTTTTTAGTGTCCTAAAAACCCAAGGGTCTGGTCTGTGCTCACCTTGTTTACCTAATTGGTTGGTATATTATTCTCAAGCCTCCCCAGGAAAGGGGGTGAAGGGGCTTGAGGGGATATTTTGGGGGAAACAGGAACTCCAAGTGGTCCTTTTCCTGAATCTTTGTCTAACTCACTTGGTGGTGGCAGCAAGGAAGAATTTGTGCCTTGAGAAAGTTTTTAACCTAAGCTCCTAGAAACAAGCTTAGGGGGTCTTTCATGTGGGTCCCCACATCTGTACCCTAGAGTTGAGAGCGGGGAGGGAACCCTGACAGCTTACACGGTGGTTACAGGTTTCAGAGTAGCAGCCGTGTTAGTCTGTATTTGCAAAAAGAAAAGGAGTACTTGTGGCACCTTAGAGACTAACCAATTTATTTGATGAAGTGAGCTGTAGCTCACGAAAACTTATGCTCAGATAAATTGGTTAGTCTCTAAGGTGCCACAAGTACTCCTTTTCTTTTTTACGGTGGTTACAGGAACTTTAAGCATCTGAGAAAAGACTAGCATCTCTTCCCGCTCTCACCACACCCACACAACATATAACTCTCCCCACACTATTTCCAGATCACCCTTCCTTCCCTAAGTCATTAGAAATTTAGAAGCTAGGTGCCCACAAAACGCAGTGGTAGAATGTGTGTGAACTTTACGAAAACCTGTTTTTTCAGGGGTTGTGTCTCAGGAACCACTTGCTCAAATGACCCCAAATTTGGATCTCTAACCCTACCTCGCACTCCCATGAGGTACACCAAATTTCAAGACAATGCAAGTAAGCATAGGGGTTTTAGAGCCCTTAGAAGAATTCTTCTTTAAATAGAGAAGTCTTTTCAATCGTAACAGTTGTAAACTACAGGCCTTCCTCTATAGCACGGTATGGAATTAATCATCAGCAGCTGCACTGCTATACCCAGATTCCCAGGGCCCCTGCTGAGGACGTGCACCAACACGAGGAGCGCAGCATGGACAGGCAAAAGCAACTCAATTGCTGTGGTTGCTGTATGTCAACATATCTTTGGTTGACTTCATTTTGTCATGTAGACTTCCCCTTAGGAGTACTCAATATTTTCCTTTCTAGCCTATCCAATTATAGGACAAGAACACCATTTTCAGAGCTCTTATTTCATTCTACAAATGCAAAGCATTTATCTCACTTATTCCCCACAAGACTAACATATTACACAACACACACCTCAATCACATCCAATCACTATTAAAAAGTTCACCATCAACAGCAGCCTATGTCTGGAGATTATTTAATAGGCTGTAACAAAGCTGTAATTGAAATTTCATCTATTAACATTCGGTTCTTCCACGTAACTTCCATATTAGCTGACATCCAAGTCAGGGTGCTTTCCAGAGGTATGACCAATAAGGACTTAGCTCTCCTAGGCCCAACTGTTAGAACCTCCAATTCCACAGCGTTTAGTCCCACTCACGTAGTTTCTGGGATAACTTTTTCAAAAGCTTTATAACTTAAGTCAAAATCAATGGTTTCCAACATATAGTAAGCTGATTCACTAATAGGTTACAAATAAAAGCATAGAGTTTGGGTTGTTGTATGTGGCTCAAAATTAGTATCTCCAATACACGAATCCCAGAAGCCGAACAAGTTTTATCAGCAAATGATTGTCCAAAAACATATTACAAAAGTTTGAGTAATTTTCATGTTTGAAAATTTTCAGTCATCTGACGAGGCAGCGCAAATACCATGGAACTTAAATAACCAGTCATAACAAACCTACCGCACATATGAAGAGAGCAGCTTGCTGACTGCCTGAAAGCGATTCACACTTTGGGACCTCAGAGCCAAGTACTGGCCTAGCCTAACTGTGCTTGGTAATGAGATTTGACATAATCTCAGCCCAAAGTACAATGAGTTTCTTACTCCCACAGTCAGTGGTACAAGACAGTTCACAGAAGCATTCTGCTCTCATCCACATGCTCCTGCCTTGCACCTACACCTGATTCAGCCTCACCCCCCAAAACAGGGTCAAAAGTCCAGTTGCATTTATTTAACACCAAGAGAGCATTCATCGCTATACAAATATGAAGAATGCTACAGTACCTACACCAGATAGTGTAATCTGAAAAAATTAGTCCACCCTTAACTGCTGTGCACCTAAAGCTGCCTTGCAACATATTCGGTTTTTCCCATCCAACAAATTGAAAAAATTTAGCTTATTTCTTCTCTTGCCGAAAAGCCCAAGAGTTTGAGGCAGCAGCTGCTCTGAAAGTGCCAGAAAGACTGCAAAGCTCCACAAGATTAGGGACTAGAGCAAAGTATCCTAAAACCATGGAACAGCCTCCCCACTGCCAACTTCTCAGTAAAGTGCAGAGACACAGTTCTGTAGGACAAAAGTAACCTAGTGGGTAACCTGCCTAGTTAAAAATAGGGAGTTTGTACATCCAGCAGGCAGTGCAGGCACAATTATAACGCTGCAAAGAGGGCACTTTCAGTTTTCTCCTGCTTCTCAAGAGCCCAGTCATGCAGGTAAGATGGGAAGACTAGCTAGCCCGCTGTGGAAATGCCACCTTTTGGAGCTACTCAATCTGGAGCCTTGGAGCACACTCAGTCTGTGTGTCTCGTAGGTGACACAGGGTTTGGGCAGTTCTGTATGGCTCTCGTGCAGCCAGCTCTCCTGGCACGAAGGAGGGAGGCCGGGGCAGGAGTTACTTACATGTTCCGGTCCCTGTCAGTGCTCTCGTACTCTAGGAAGACGATCTGCCGGGGATAGTGGCCACAAATTTCCCCGTTCACATTCTGGATCAGGCTGTAGCAATAGTCCCTGCCAAACAGCTCCAGGCAGCGCTTCTCAATCCTCTCCACCTGCAAGACAGCCAGATTTACAGCTCAGGGGCTGGAGCTCAGGCTGCCCCCTCCCCTCAGGGCACAGGACACCTCTGCTATAGTCGCCACCACAGGCCTTGGCCTAGGCAGGAGGGGGCGGCTCTGGCCCAGCTGGAAGCGAGGTGTGTTTCAGCGGGTCTCGCCCAGCCAGCAGGGGGAGAGGGCGTCAGCGTCTCTCAGACCAGGGAAAGCCAGCGGGGTCCCGCGGGTGTCTCTCGGCACAGCCGGGGAAGGGTGGCGCGGGACGTGCCTCGGGGGACGTGCCTCGGGGCCCGGCCGGGCCCGGCCCGGCCGTAGGGAGGGGTGTCGACCCAAAGGGGCGGGGCTCCCGGGGGCAGCGGGTCCCGCCGGGGCTTGGCCTCGGCCTCTCACCTTCGCGCTGCTCCCGGCCCCGCCGCCGCCGCCGCCCCCGTCCTTGGCCCGATACTGCGCCCGGGAGAACTCGAGCAGCAGCTCGGCCAGAGCCCGCTCCCCGGAGCCCGCCTGGGGGCAGCCCCGGGCCCCCGCCATCCCCGCCCGCTCACGGCTCCCGGCCCATCGCGGCCCGCACTCGGCCCCCGGGCTGCGTCCGTTCCCCGCTTCCGGGGCCACGGCGCGCACCGGACATTCGCCGGAGGCCCAGCCAATCCGCTGCCGAGAGGGGACCGGGAAGCACCATCCCTTCCGGGCGCTGGCGTGACGTCATCACATCGCGACGCAGCGACTCGAGCACCTCGCGCCAGGCCAGGCGCTCCCGCTATAGACGCGCACGCGCCTGGCGGGGTCCCTGCCCCGCCCCCCCTTCGGCGGCGCTGCAGGCTCCCGCCCCGCCCATTGGGCGGCCCCGCTGGCCTGGGGACCCCAGAGGCGCCTGCTCCAGCCCCGCCCCCCCCCGCATCGCCCCGGCCCCCAGCTTCGCCTCAGCCCGCTCCGCCCGGCCCCGCCCCCCCGGGGCCCCCAGCCCCGCCCCCGCTTCCCCTCAGCCCGCTCCGCCCGGCCCCGCCCCCCGCATCGCCCCGGCCCCCAGCCCCGCCCCCACTCCGCCCGGCCCCGCCCCCCCCGGGCCCCCAGCCCCGCCCCCGCTTCCCCTCAGCCCGCTCCGCCCGGCCCCGGCCCCCCCGCATCGCCCCGGCCCCGCCCCCCCGCATCGCCCCAGCCCCCCCGCTTCCCCTCAGCCCGCTCCGCCCGGCCCCGCCCCCCCGCATCGCCCCGGCCCCGCCCCCCCGAGCTCCCCAGCCCCGCCCCCCCGCATCGCCCCGGCCCCCGCTTCCCCTCAGCCCGCTCCGCCCGGCCCCCCCCTCCCGCTCGTGCCCCAGCCCGGCGCCACGGTCCGTGCGGCGCCCTGTCTCTGCGGCGCTGGAGCCGAGGCCGGAGCGGGCTGGGGCGTGTCTGCGCTGCGGGGCCCTGCACACTCCCGGGGGATCTTGCGCCAAAACATGAAACATTCTGCGCACAGTATTCAAAATCCTGCAGACTGTTTGTGAAATAACTGCGGAGGCTCCAGCGGCACGGCGGAGCACAGGCCCCTGGCTGCACAGGGGCGGGAGATCAGTGTGCAGCTCCCCGGGACACGGGCTCCGCGACCCGGCCGCACCCAACCCTGACAGCGCAAGGACTGGATCTGCCCCGGAAACACCCAGGGCCCTGCCCCTCCGAGCCAGGTGACCAGGTGTGGGCAGGCAGCTCAGCAAGGCAGGATCTTCGTGGGGGGATCCAGGTGTGGGCAGGCAGCCCAGCAAGGCAGGATCTTCGTGGGGGGATCAGGGGGCTCAGAAGGCTCTTAGTGGGGGGATCCAGGTGTGGGCAGGCAGCCCAGCAAGGCAGGATCTTAGTGGGGGGATCCAGGTGTGGGCAGGCAGCTCAGCAAGGCAGGATCTTCGTGGGGGGATCCAGGTGTGGGCAGGCAGCCCAGCAAGGCAGGATCTTCGTGGGGGGATCCAGGTGTGGGCAGGCAGCTCAGCAAGGCAGGATCTTAGTGGGGGGGGATCCAGGTGTGGGCAGGCAGCTCAGCAAGGCAGGATCTTAGTGGGGGGATCCAGGTGTGGGCAGGCAGCTCAGCAAGGCAGGATCTTAGTGGGGGGGGATCCAGGTGTGGGCAGGCAGCCCAGCAAGGCAGGATCTTCGTGGGGGGATCCAGGTGTGGGCAGGCAGCTCAGCAAGGCAGGATCTTAGTGGGGGGATCCAGGTGTGGGCAGGCAGCCCAGCAAGGCAGGATCTTCGTGGGGGGATCCAGGTGTGGGCAGGCAGCTCAGCAAGGCAGGATCTTAGTGGGGGGATCCAGGTGTGGGCAGGCAGCTCAGCAAGGCAGGATCTTAGTGGGGGGATCCAGGTGTGGGCAGGCAGCCCAGCAAGGCAGGATCTTCGTGGGGGGATCCAGGTGTGGGCAGGCAGCTCAGCAAGGCAGGATCTTAGTGGGGGGATCCAGGTGTGGGCAGGCAGCCCAGCAAGGCAGGATCTTCGTGGGGGATCCAGGTGTGGGCAGGCAGCTCAGCAAGGCAGGATCTTCGTGGGGGGATCCAGGTGTGGGCAGGCAGCTCAGCAAGGCAGGATCTTAGTGGGGGGATCCAGGTGTGGGCAGGCAGCCCAGCAAGGCAGGATCTTAGTGGGGGGGGATCCAGGTGTGGGCAGGCAGCTCAGCAAGGCAGGATCTTCGTGGGGGGATCCAGGTGTGGGCAGGCAGCTCAGCAAGGCAGGATCTTAGTGGGGGGGGATCCAGGTGTGGGTTGAGAGGGTTCTGTTGGGACAAGCAGGGTGCGGTGGCTCAGTGGGGGATCCGGAGGCAGGGGGGATCTGGGTGCAACAGTAAGGGGACTCTGCAAGGGGGTCCAGTTGAAGGTGGTTGGGGTTCAGCAGTGATCTGGCTGTGGGGCGGATAGAGCTTGGCAGGGGGCTTTGTTTGGGGGGGATAAAGCTTGGCAGGGGGTCTGGCTGGGGGGGGCTCAGTTGGGGGTCCAGATGCTGGGGGAAGGGGCTCAGGGGGGTGGGGATCCAGGTGTGGCTGGCTCGTCAGGGTGATCCAGGTGCAGGGGGAGTGGGGCTCATTGGGGGGGTTCTGGGTGCAGGGGGGGTGAGGCTCAGCAGGGGGTTGGGTGGATGGGGGGTGCGGCTCCCTGTACAGGGATCCCTCCCCCTGCAGCTGAGGAACGATGGGTGCAGAAAGCGGGCGGGGGGGAGTTGGCAGAGCTTCCTGCAGCCAGGGGATAAATCTGGGGGGGGGGGGGTCTGACACAGCCCTGGATGCTGTGCAAGGGAAGAGGAAGTCCCATCCTCCCCAGCCCAGTTGGGAGTAGCAACTGAGCCCAGGTACGAGCCACCAGCTGGTTCTTCCCTAGTCCTGCTCCCTGCCCCATGGTGATTTACCTCTCTGCTGGCTGCCCTGGGCACCCAAAACATACTGTGGGGGGGGGTCACATGACCGCTCTTGTGGCTTCCCTTTGCTTCCCTATCAGAAAGGGATTTTTCTGTGGAAAAGCAAAGAAATCTGTAGGGGGACATAAATTCTGCGCATGCGCAATAGCACAGAATTGCCCCAGGAGTAAGTAGAACTGTGACTGAGCCATCTCCCGAGTGATGTAAGTTACACCCACCTCAGCAGTAGGTCTGGGGAGAGTTGCTCCCATCAAGACAGCTACCACCTCTCCGACGGGAGCTCTCTCCCCTCGGCATAGAGCATTTTCACCCGACGCAGCGCTTCTAACGTGGACCAGCCTGGAAAGAAAGTCAGCTCAGGGTGCTGCTGGCTCAGGAGCTGGCATATGCCAGCATGTGCATCCCTGCCTCTGCTGCAGCCCAATTACACAAAGGGATGGGGAGCCTCTTTGTCCTGTGTCAGCGTTGCCTGCCATACTCCTTCACCTTCAGGCCAGAGTGGCTGCCTCTCTAGGCTGCTCTCTCCAGCCTTTCCCCACCCTGCAAATTTAGTCACGTCACATCATTATGCCTCCATACCAGGGTACATCTGTCATGCCCAGCTGTTTTGTCTCCGGCTTGTCTGAGCTCTGCTGTCTGTCAGACACTCACAGCAACTGCCAGGCCTGGCATGGGGGCCTGCAGGGCTGCAGGAATCAGATGAGGCATTTTGTCAAAGCTTTTCATGCCTCACTAGGCTTCAGTTCGAGCAAGTGGTTCTGACATGCAGCAAAAAAAGCAGGAGTTTGTCCTAATCTGTGTATTGGCTGCAAGAGCAAGGAGGCAGCAGTGCACAGGAACAGCCAGGCTGTGACACTAGATAGTGAACTAGCCTTTAGCTTCATGAAAAGGGCCCTACCAAATTCATGGCTGTGAAAAACACGTCAGGGACCGTGAAGTCTGGTCTCCCCCCCGTGAAATCTGGTCTTTTGGGTGCTTTTACCCTATACTATACAGATTTCCCAGAGGAGACCAGCATTTCTCAAATTGGTCCTGACCCAAAAAGTTTCAGTGGGGTTGCAAGGTTATTGTAGGGGGGATAATGGTATTGCCACCCTTAATTTTGCACTGCCTTCAGAGCTGGGCAGCCAGAGAGTGGGGGCAGTTGGCCGAGTGCCCGGCTCTGAAGGCAGCGCCCCGCCAGCAGCAGCGCAGAAGTAAGGGGGCAATCCCAGACCAGGCCACCCTTCCTTCTGCACTGCGGTCGGTGGGGCTCTGCCTCCAGAGCTGGGCTCCCGGCCAGCAGCCGCCGCTCTCCAGCTGCCCGGCTCTGAAGGCAGCGCCCCGCCAGCAGCAGAAGTAAGGGTAGCAGTGCCTACAATAACCTTGCAACCCCCCCCCCCCCCCACACTCCTTTTTGGGTCAAGACCCTACAATTACAACACCAGGAAATTTCAGATTTAAATAGCTGGAATCATAAAATTTATTATTTTTAAATTCCTATGACCGTTAAATTGACCAAAATGGAGCGAGACAAGTCAGACATCGGCCAGGGATACAGATGAGCTCAGAGCCTCTCTCCATTTACACTTCACAGGGAAGGGGCTCTCCAGGGGGCAGAGCAAAGTCAACTGGCTCCCGAGGGCACAGATACATGCCTGCTGCTGAGCCAGGGATGAGAATTCACAGCTGTCCATGTGGACTGGGGGAAGGAGGCTGTGTCCAAGGGCCGGACTGGACACCATTCCTGAGCCTGCAGCCATGGGGACCAGGATGTTTTCTGCTCCTGCTCCAATGCCCAGTGGTGCTGACCGGGGATTGCTTCATGCTGGTTGCCTAGCCCCTGGGGAATCCTTATCACAGCCCAGCTCAGGCACGTTTCAGGTCCTCCCCCCTTCCCCGTTTAACAGGATATCTCTGTGCATGATTCCCTTAACTCCCTCCACGAACAGTCAGGACTTAACCCCCCTGACAGCTGACCTGAGGTGGTTGGGGGTCACCTCTGCAAGACCTGAGATTTAGGGGTGAACGTCTTCCTCCCCCATTCTAATGACTGCAGAGGGCACCCTCTCCCACACTGCCCTAGACAGAGAACCCTCTGGCACATGTGTAAATCAGCCACTATAAAGCGCTAACCCAGCATCACAGGAACTTGCCAGACCTTGCCTTGTGTCCTGGCGAGGCCAGAGTGGGATAGGTTCAGCCTGAACTGCAGGGACGACTGTGTGAAAGTGAAATAAGATGCTTTTAAAAAAACAACCATTGTTTAGATCCTTTGATTGTTAATTAGCTTGACACGGGGGTTTCACATAGCACAGAAACACGCTACTGAGCGGGTGACCCCGTGTGCTGGGATCCTGATTCCCCCAGGTGCGGTGCAGGTCAGGTCATCGAAGGGGCGCAGGGAGAGCATGGTAAATGGGCTGTATGGCCAAACCCAGACTGTCCCACAGGGCTGCTGCCTCCCATGGGTTCCCATGTGCCCCTTGGGGAGCAGTGGTGCAGACTGGCTATCTGGGAACCAGGTCAGTCAAGCAGCAGCCAAGCCTGCCATTTCACACAGGCCAATCCCCACCGTACGTCTCTTCCAGGGCACAGTGGGGTCCCCTCCCCACAGCTAGGGTGTTCCAGGTACATGGGAAAGTCTTAAACAAGGGTTCTATAACTAGGTGCTTCATTGTTCCCACCTGGCTTTCCCAGACACACACGGCCCTAATGAACCTGCTACGACAGCACACACAGCCTGGGAGGGGGAGGATTTCTTCCAGTCCAAAGTTCTGGGTCTGGAATACAGCGAAGAAGGCTCAGGGACATTGCACTCCACTCCCATCTGGGGCCTTCTCCCTTTTTCAGCTCTCGCCTGCACTTCCCTCTCCTCCTGGCCAATCTCCTTTCCTCCTCAGTTTCTGTGCAGGCCCCGCCCCATGGTGGCACTGACTGCAGCCCCTGGCCATGGCCTCCTCACCATAGCGCTTGCTGCCCACTCCACTTAGGTGCTGCAGAACGTCCAGGACCTGATTTTCATGTAGTGGGCCCTTTATGTTGCTCTAGCAGAGCCAATGTAATTTACAGTAGTGTTAAAGTCCCTTTATGCGGCCAGAGCAGGGCAAAGGCCACAGCGAAAGTGAAAATCTGGAAGGTCATATTTTGGAACCTGTGTGAAGTAAGTGGGACCTTGCAGAGTTTGCTCCACATGCAGGCTCCTGCCTCTGGCTATCAAGTTGTTCCCGTCCCTCTCAAGCCTGGATGCTGAATTTACCCATCAGATGGGGCTAGGGCTTCTCTTTCCTCCACCAAATCAGCCAGTCTGCCCAGGCTCATGGTGAGCACCCATAGGTGCAGCTCTCAGGAGCCCGATGCCACCCCATGGCTCTGCACAAGGCCATCCTCACTCTCACTCCGTGCTCTGCCATCTCTCACCAGCTCAGCCACTTACACCTCTGCACAGAAAAGGGCAGGTTGGTGGGAAAGTGCCATTCCCACTGGCTAGCAATGACAGTGCAAAGATGCAGGGCAACCAAAACTCTGGCCCTTCCCCACCTCCCTGTGCCTTTTCTCAAGATACCCCTGTAACCATGCTCATCTCCTACAAGGCCTTCCTAATCACTCACTGCTTCTGGGCCAGGCCACCACTCCCTGTTTGCTCATCTCCAGCCATACAATTACTGTAGAGCTGCCAGCCAAACCTAACGAGGCCTGTGCCTAGGGCCTCCTGCTACCGTGCACCATTCCTGTGACATGCATTGTCTAACTTGGAGTGTGAATTCATCTGACATTGTGCCACTCACACCTCTGCTGCTGCAGCAGGCACCTTACGGAGAATAATGGCCAGTTGAGCAAGGGTCTGGGAATCAGAACGGCTGGGTTCTAGGCAGCTGTGGGGTCAGGGGGCTGGGAGTTAGGCCTTCTGGGTTCTATTCCTGACTCTTGCTGCGTCCGCATGATTGGAGGAGCACAGGGGTGGCCCTCTGAGAGTCTTTCCTCCTCACACTCACTCCAGGCCACCAGCACCAGCAGGCCATTGGCAGCAGTGCTATTTATAGGTCCCAGCCAGCTGCCCCTCTTGCTCCTGGGGGGCAGGGAGCAGTACTAGCAGTCAGCTCTGCCTTCCTTCCTCCCCCCACTCCAGCTTCCTTCCTCTCTGCTCCCAGCTGCTGGGGTCGCTCCCCTCTAATCAGCCCTTCAGCTGTGGCTTTACTTGTTAACTAACCCTCTGTTTAGACCCCAATTAACTTCTCCTGGTGGAGATTTGAGTGGCCAGTCCTGTCAACTCCTGACCCAGAACCCCTGTCACAGGGAGGTTTGCTTGCCCACATGGTAGGCCATTCTGTGTGATCCTTTGCTAGTCTTTCTGTGGGTAAACAGTCCTTGTGATCCATCCAAGAAATTCTTTTTCTGCAATCAACGTTCCCCTCCAGTGTCCATCAACATGCATTGCCCACGGAACCTCTTCAGCTGTGCCTCGCCACTCAAATCTCTCTTTCCATAAGATCTGACTGGCATCTGCGGAGTTCCAGTCATCCCCAATGATCTGTCATTGGTTACTCAGTCTGTCCATGACATTTTCAGAGTTCTCCTAGAGCACCATAATTTTAATTATTGTAATTTATCATTGATTGTTTGAATGGCCAGGCTTCAATTCAACACAAACGTACATTTTTAAGAGTCGGAATCTAGTCTTCAGAGTCTGAACATATAAAGTGCTAAGTGGTCTGTCAAATGAAGTTCTAGCTGTCTCAAATGGGCACTCAAAATTAGTGGACACTTTTGGCCTTAATCTCCCTGTGCCTCAGTTCTCCTTTGTAAAATGGGAATAATATCACCCTAAACTGGGGGCATTGCAACGAGAAATTCTTTAATATTTGTGAGATTCTCAGACCCTGCAGCGAGGAGCCCCATTGAAACAGCCAGGAGGAAAGTAGTAATTCTGTGTTCTATGGAGGATTTGGATGTGTGCAGAACACATGGCCTGGGGGCCACACACTGAATGAGAAGCATAAAGAGAAATATGGACTAGTCACCGATTGAGGGAGCACCACCCGCCCTGTGCCCCGACTGGGTTGATGCCCTGGGCAAAACCCAGGATGTGATCATGTAAAAACAGACTAATAATAATGCATACACACTTGGGGTCACAAGCAACCTGCAGTCTGGCATTTTGTAACTTTTCAGTGCTTGACTCTGCAACCTTAACATTCTTTTAACATTGACTCCGATGAAGTGAGCTGTAGCTCACGAAAGCTCATGCTCAAATAAATTGGTTAGTCTCTAAGGTGCCACAAGTCCTCCTTTTCTTTTTGCGAATACAGACTAACACGGCTGTTACTCTGAAACTTTGTATGAAATAATAATTATTATAATTAGTAATAAATCACGACCACGAAATCTCTTCAGAGTGAGATGCCCCACTCCAGCAAGACCTGGCACTACCCTAACCAACATGTAGGGATGCCATTTTTACTGTGTGACTGCCCTAGCCCTGGACTTCCCAGTTGTGCTGCAAGTAACTGACTTAATAGTAATTGTAAGCCAGGCACCCGATCTCTCTGTAACCTTCTTTTTCTCCAGTTCCTGTTTATTTCTCTGGCTTGGCTCTGGTTGGGGACAGACAGGCCTTCCCAGCAGGCCTCGCTTCCTCTACAAATTCTTCTTTTTTCTCTCTTGGTTAGTTTCGTTTCTGTTCTCCTTTCTCGCCAACCCATCAGCAGCTCCTCCTTTGCAGTCTGATGGAAGGGAATGGGGTCTCCTCTCCCTGACTAGCTTCATCCAGGCTCAGCCCACAGTGAATCAGGTGTTCAGCAGCTCCAGTGTGAGATCCAGGAGCCATCCACATAACCTTGGAAATTATGTGGTTCCCCCATCCATGTCTGACCAGATGATCAGCCTGGGGAGCAGCTTCCCCCTCCACCCCCCCAGTTCTCTCTGCTCCACCCACCCGGCACCACATCAGATCTGTTATTTGGGCTAAAACAATACATGACAGATGATTTAACATGTCCTATCCCAGCGTGAGTGCCAATCATATGGTCCATTCACCGCCAGGGCACCTCCTGGCCATATCTGGGGATTAGCTCCACTCACGTGGGACACCCCTTTCTGGTGCTTGCTGCACACCCTACCACCATTGTCTCTCTCAGGGTGCTGTTATAGTCATGGCATTTGATGTTTGTATTTTGTGTAATTTAGAATGAAGGATAAAGAATAATAATGTAGCATGCATTAAATGTATTGACGTAGGATTTGACCATACCCTGCCAGCCACCCTTTCTGAAAGCAGAAAGGAATGGCCTAGCATGCCGTTGGTAAAGATGCATCAGCCAGAATCTTGTGTCTGAAGCTGATTTCAAGGTAGTGACAGACCTTTAGGGTCACCATTTTGTTGTAAATTTAGCATTTTGAAATAAGTAAAAGAATGTAATGATTGTTTTCTCCTGCATTGCAATTTGATGTTCCCATTCAAATGCTCTGTGTAAATCAATCCTGTTTTGTGTGTGTGAATGAGGAATGTGTTTGCTAGAAGACAAGCGTGAAGGCCATCACCAGACCAGATGTTCTAGGGAGGAACCAATGACAGACATAAGGGCAGCGCTGAGAGTAACTGAGGCCACTTACAGGTACGGGGCGGGGTGGCTCTGGCCCCCGGAAGGGGCGGGGCCTCGGGTGGAAGGGGCGGGGCTGGGCGTCAGCATCCCCCAGCCAGCCCTTCCAGTCCGGCTGGCCCACGCCACCCAGGGCTCCCGTGTTGATTTAAAGGGCCTGGGGTTCCAGACGCCGCTGCTGCCGTAGGGCAACGGCGTCTGGAGCCCCAGCCCCTTTAAATCGCCGGCCCCAGGGCAGCTGCTCCCTTTGCCGCCCCCGCCCGTCGGCAGCACCAAAAGGGGCAGGAATGTTAAAGTGCAGCAGGGTCCTTCCTCCCCCCCCACCGGTAGGGTCCGTCCCAGCCTCAGGCCGCTGACGGGAGGCGAAAGGGGCTGCCGCGGCAACGCTTTACTGTGGGCTGGGTACGGGCCGGGGTGGGTTCTTACCGGTACGTGGTACCGGCCCCTCCCGACCGACTTTCACCCTGCGTAAGGGCACCAGGAGGCTGCACCACGCCCCTGTTGGAATGTCAGAGGAGGGCAGACTGATGACTCTAAAGAGGAGACAGGCACCTATCCATGGGGATAAGATAGCAGTGATCAAAGCCAGCCTGGGGTAGTTCCCTGAGAGACTTGATGAAAG